GTGGAATTGGGACCGGCAGATTCCGTTGAGCATATACAGTGAAGATACTTCGACGCTGGAGGGGCACAGGAACCAGCTACCTCACGTTTCGGCACCAGTTCCGGCACTCGCCCGATCAGGGCCCAAAGAGACGGTTGTATGGGGGTGCTTGGACATTGTACTGGGATGCGAGACCGGGAACCCCTGATCTAGCGTAGAAACGAGAGCCAATTTCCCTGATTGTGATTAACTTAGGAGGGAATCACCGCCATTTCGTTTTGCGGGCCGACTTGGTCAGTGCTCTTTTTCCTTTGCCTTTCTTCTTCCGTGGACAAGGCTCGCAAATTATGCTGTCGACGAGTCCAAAGCCAAAGCTATGACTATGGAGCGCCAGAGTGGCACCGAATTTACTAACTACGAAAGCGCGGAAGTCATCCCCGGTTGGGAGGAAAGTGAAGTGAAATCAGGCCCACAGAATTCCACGAAGAAAATAACCAGCAGTTGACGATGTCCCAACAGCCCTCCGTGATCCCGCCGGCAAAGCAAATCTGTCGCTTTTGTGGAATAGGAGAACATATGCAAGAAACTAATCAAAGCATTTGCCTGAGTTGGCCGAATGATGTAAACCTGCGTGTGGCTGGTTTAATCGAGCTGGTGGTCCACATGGCGTTCACGGGACTGCATCCCCAACCAAGCTGCCCTCGTCGCAAGATGCTAAAGACCTCTGACACAGCTATCCCCTGACAAAGCAAAAGTTTTAAGGAATGGTAATGCAGCTCGGGGGAATGATATCAGCCATGCCACATGGTTTTGGACAGGGACCCATATCGCTCATATCCTTGGGCTGGGGTAAGACTCAACGTTGGAACACACTCGGTGGTGCCAGCGGGGAGGAGAAGGGCGAGCGACGAGGGCAAGGCACGCTGTCACGCCGTTCGAAACCCGCCACACCCAAGTCCAAGCCCAAACCCACATCTACACCAACCAACGTTTTCACTTTTTCGCTTCCCCTTTCAAAGTTTGTTCTGGCTTCAACCCCTTGACCTTGTCAGATGGACGTTCATATGAAAGTGGCAATTTAGCAACCAGCAAACTCCTGACTATCACTTACCGTTCCGGCTTCCGCGACTTCCCACTTGAGTTTCCAATCAATCAAACATGACGAATGAGTCCGAGCGCTTCTGTGCAATGCCGAACAGGCAAAAGCCCTTAGCAATATTACTACGTATCTATACGGAGCAATATGAAATAACAATCAAGCCATTGGGCTCTCAGTTCTTCAGTCCCAGGCCAGGCGAACCGTGTCCGCCGTCCGCAATGTCCAATTGCCCATTTGTGGGTGCAGAGGAATGGGGAACTACTGAGGCCTGGGTACAGCTTTAGAGAGATGACTGTCGGATGGCCAGGGTCATGGCCTTGTGCCTTGTCAAGAAGACTTTTCAATTCATAAATAACCCCGGCCACTTCATTTGCTTGGCTCGTGTTTACAGCTTCACCGACAAGCCGGATGCCTCTGGAGAAGGGCCAACGTTGCAGCTGACCCAGTCCATGTTGGCCCAGTCCGTTGGTTCATCCCCAATTCCCACTTTGTTGCCATTAATCAACGTGACACCAGGGTTATTTCGTGCGGCCCCATGCTGCGTGGGACCGTCATGACTACGCTGGGACAACGTCAATCAGCGAGTGACAAGCAACATGACAGCGTCCCACGTCTGTCCAAGGTGCCGACGTGTTTATTTGGTTGGCTATCTCAAGGGCTGCGAAGACGCCGACGGTGAGGGAAACCAGGACAACGTAAGGCAAAATGAACATCAGCGAACAAGTCCGCAAGCAAACAGGCAACCTGCTTGCCAGCTCAACTGTCCCCATCCCGCGGCGGAGTAAGATGCAGCGTCAAGTGACTGGGTGCACGGCAAGTAAGATGTGGACATGTCACGATATGAGTCTTTAATGGAGGGGATGTAGTAGTAGGCGGGTGTATGGTATGGGTGTATGGGAATTGGAGTTTAGGCTTGCACTCCCCCAAGCAAGTTCAGCAAGTCGGTTTCTTCGGGTACCCGTTCGCCGTGCGTCCCTAGGCGCCGTTGGGCAGTTGGTTGCGCACACCTCAGTCTGCCATTAGCATTCCAACCGGAAGCCGTCGTGGCCAGGGTGCATGTAACCAACAGGCCCCTTTGCCGTGCGGCGCCAGTACAAGTTGCAACCCGAGTCCATTTATCAGACGTCACAGCACATACCAAGACTGGACATATGTGATTGGTATTTGTAGGTGGAAACACGTCTCGGCCGATAGAGCTGTGCGACGTTTGAGATGTGCATCTCCACACATGGCATACGGCCGCGGCAGGCTGAGAGAACTGTGTGACTCCGGATACTCTCTTTCTTGCATTCAGCATCAGCCCCCAAAACAAACATTCACTGGTTGCACATGGTGCGGTACTTGGCCCCATGCACAAGATGTTGGCTACTGGGGTCGCAAGCCCAACGGAATTGAAGTTTCCAGAAAAATTGTTGATAAACGGTCACCCCAAATCAATAATGAGCAGCGACGACGACATCGGCAGCAGCTTTCTTGTTCTGATTCTTGCCTGTCCACGGTGGCACAGCAGCTGTCGATATCCGGCCGGGGGAACGCTCCGAAGCCCTAGCGATCCCCTTTTTCACCGCCTCACGAAGACGGGAGAGACGGGAGACGAGATGGCTCAATCAGCAAGCTTTGTCGCTCAGATCCTCGGCGCTCTGATGCACAGTCTTTGGGGCGTGATAAGCTCCGCGTGCCACAGGAAGCGCATCCGCGTTCCACCTTGTTGCCCAACAGAAGGTACAGGGACTCGGTGGCTGTGGTACCAAGGAAGCTCGAGGTCAGCCTTTTGTGGGCGCCGTCTGTCTCCCAATGAAAGATGATGAACCTAACGTCCTGTACTAGTTGCTCACCGCAAAAGATCAGGCAGCGCGGGGATCAGGCCTAGCTCACTTCTGCTAAGGAGGCGGTCTATTACTGAGCCACAGGGACAGCCTGGATATCTTGCCCATGTCCCTTGACAGTAGGCTAGCGTTTGAGGAGCCCTTCGGCCGGTGGTTTGTCGCTCATCCAGCAATCCAATGTTGTGCCCCTGCTGTGGTAAAGCCATGCGACCTAAATGCCGGGGGGGTGTAGACCTTGGGCAGTACCCGGCTGACCTTACCTACCAGTGTACGGCGCACCTCACCTCACCTCACATCGCGGAGTCACGGACACTTTGCATCTCGTTTCCCCTGTAAGGCGAGCCCCGGCTCGACCTTTTCTCGTTTGCGCTGTAGCTGCCCTGTATCCATAACCAGAGGCCTACTGACCAGAAGGGAAACCGCCTGAAGTCAGGGCCTCTGGAGGAACTGCCAAGACATTTACTACCCAGTGGTAGCAAGAGCCCACAGCAACTGACTTTCCTGGTTGGTGAGAGACCTGTTCAGAATTCAACAGGATGCGAAAGACGAGACAGAGAGTAAAAAGGACAGGAGGAGCAAGGGATAGAGGGAACCATTGCGCTGCGGCTGCGTATGCACCTGACTTGTGCGTTGCAGTTGCAGTTTCGTTTGCATTTCTGTACCTGATGGGCATGTAGCTGCTACGCAGTGGCCATCGGCAACGACAACAATTGTGCTGCTCCAGGCTGCAGCATAGCACACACACATTGTTGTATCGTTCCCAACTGTTAGTGTTTTTTTTCTCTCTATTTTTCTTTTCTTTCTGTCCCGCCTGCAACTACCCACCACAACCTCACGCACATACACCACCCAATCCGAGAGCTGATCCCAGGAATGTCTCCCTCTCCCAACCCAGGCCAGTCCCCATCAGGGTTTGACTAGCCTCGTTGCCTCTTGTGAAACCTTTTTTTTTTTTTTTCTTTCCTTTCCTACACAGATCCCTGCCTTCCGGTCTGGCGCCATTCTTCCCCGAGTCTACCACCCCTTGCCTACTTTCCCTACTTGGTCCATGTCGGTCTGGCGAGTACGTACTCAGCACCCCCAGAGAGGAGCAGGTACATACACACCACACACGCGGGCACTCACCTCCCCTGCTAACAACCATCTCCCATAAAATCTCACCTGGGTACCCATCTCTCAGGTACTGACCCGCCGGAATACGTACCCATAGCCATAAGGCAAAGCTCAAGGCTTGGGACCGCCATGAACAAGGGCCCCCCTTCGAATGCCCTTCTATGGAGAGGGAGTCCACCGAATGTTGCTTGGGGGGTACCCCTGGATCAGGTACAGGGCTTTTGGGCCCCACGACCGTCATGCCGGGCAGTTGGATCCCCTACCCACGACGTGGGACTTTCGCCGCCGCATCTCCCTGAGTCTCTCCCCGGTGGACAAGTGTGAGGATCGTCTTGTTGCTTTTTTGCGCTGGCCATGTCATGGTCACCGCCGTTCCAATCTTAGATCCAATTTGCTTCCGCGACCTAGGCAATGGTATGGTCCCGGTGGCCTGTCCAACCCAGCTGGGTCTGGTCTGTGTCTGGGGTGGCCCTGGGCTTTGACGTCTCTTGGTCCTCTCATCATCACGTCCGCGCTCCCTTCATATTAAGTTGCTTGCTTCCCCAGAGCTTGCTCGTTCCTTCACCGTCTGATGCTTTCTTCCATACCCCTCAGTCACGGCTGCCCTGATAACAGCTCTGCTTCTTGCTCTACTCTGCTCTGCTCTGTTATACGCTACGTGTTTTACCTTTGCTTTTTTTTTAACCTTTTGCTTTTTCCGGTTACATCATCAGTCTCCCACCAGAGCAGACTCTCCCTCCCTTTGAGAAGAATTAGCAAAACAAATTCTTGCCCACACCATTCTGGACCACCTGCACAGCAATTCCTGTCTCGCCTCCCTCGATCCAAAAAGCCAACCAGGACGTTCCCAGGCCAGCCAACGCTATATATTGCAAGCCTGTCCCAGCACTCGTAACATTGGCCCCTTGCCCGTTGGCTATTGAGTACCTACGGGCCTGGCAACATATCGAAACCGAATCCCACGGTCGAAGGGTTTATCCAAGATGAAGAGATCGGGCTACATGACAGGACGCTCCCGGAGAAGCTCCTCCGGAGCCAAAGCGAAACCGCCTTTCCCCGCCCGCCAGATGTTTGTTCTTGGTATGTGTGCGCCCCTGGCTTACACGGCCGGATGGCGCAATGAACTGACCATGAATTTCCAGCCCTTTGCAGAATATGTGAACCCATTGCGTTCATGTCCATCTTCCCCTACATCTACTACATGATCGAGGACTTCCATATTACCGACGACGCGAGCAAAATCTCGGTTTACGCTGGAATGGTCACATCTGCCTTTACCTTGGCCGAGTTCTCAACCGGAGTCATGTGGGGAAGACTGAGCGACAAAATTGGTCGTAAACCGGTTCTTCTCATGGGCCTCGCAGGCACGGCACTGAGTTCCCTGGTCTTCGGCTTTGCGCCCAACTTGGCTGTTGCTCTAATTGCGCGCGCCCTCGGTGGCTTGCTGAACGGGTACGTGGCAGAACAAACATTCCGTCCTGATTGGAACTTGTGCTAACTTCTAGACAGCAATATCGGTGTGCTGCAGACTACTGTTGCCGAGTTGGTTACGGTAAAGGAACACCAGCGTATGTTTGGATTCATGCTTTTTAAAACAGACCACACAGACTGACACATCCTAGCCCGCGCATACACAATCATGCCTCTAGTGTGGTGCCTTGGGTAAGTTAACTCGCCGAGAGCATGACAATATTTGATTTCTTGCCTTCCGACCTTGCTAGGCTCGTGTGTCTGACTGAGTGTTGATAGTTCTGTTGTTGGACCGATGATCGGAGGAGCGCTCGCTCGACCAGTCATCGCCTACCCCAACTGGTTCGCCAAGGATACGATTTGGGACAAATATCCTTATCTCTTGCCCAATCTTTTCAGCGCCATCACCGTATTCTTTGGCGTCGTTATCGGGCTGCTTTTCTTGGAAGAGACGCACGCGGAGCGCAAGAAGAGAAGTGACCCTGGCGTTGAGCTCGGAAAGCGCATCATCTCTTGGCTGTCCTTCACCAGCTGTCAGATCCCCGCACGAAAGGCAGAGAAGCAGGCCCTGCTCGACGACGACGAGCTTCCTGGCTACCGCACGACCGAGAGCTCGCCCCAGCTTGTCGGATCTTCGTCTTCCATCCCCGAACCAACGGAATCCCTGGATCTGAGTGCTGTGCCGGACGATGTGGTCGAGGAAGCGCCAGCTCAAGAAAAGACATTCACAAAGCCGGTTGTTCTCAACATCATTTCCTACGGCATTTTGGCCTTGTGAGATATCTCTCCGCTGTCCTTCTTTTACGAAGCTAACTCAATGATAGCCACACCATGACATTCGACCAGCTATTTCCCGTCTTTCTTAGTACTGCTTCACCTAATGAGAAGGATTTCCATCTTCCTTTCAAGTTTGTCGATGGCTTTGGCATGCAAACTAAGGACATTGGTGTTATCCTCTCTGTTCAGGGTTTCTACTCGATGATCTCGACGGTTTTTCTCTTCCCCTTGGTTGTTCGCCGCCTCGGGCCCCTGCGCCTATTCAGGATGCTGGCTGTCTCGTACTTCATGCTGTACCTCATGACTCCATACTTGGTTCTCCTACCGGACAACCTGAGAATGATCGGTATCTACATCATGGTCATATGGAAGTGCACATTCTCGACCATGGCCTACCCCAGCAACGCGATTCTTCTTACCAACTCCGCACCAAGCCTTCTTTCTCTCGGTACCATAAACGGCGTGGCGGCTTCCACGGCTAGCTTGTGCAGAGCTTTGGGACCGACAGTGTCGGGTTTCCTATATTCTTTGGGTCTCAAGACCGGCTACTCAGGACTCGCTTGGTGGACCAGCGGTGCCATTACCATCATTGGCGCCGTCCTCAGCATGTACGCCACCGAGCCCCGTGGGCGCTTAGATGAGCCAACACAGGATATCGAAACGGCTCTCGAGCCCAGCGAGACGGAGGGCCTCCTGGCCCCAATGGACGACGACGAAGAGTACGAGGCTGAAGCCGGCCCAAGCTGCAGGCCTTAGATGGAGCACCGACAGTTTATTTTCCGAATTCGATGTACCAAGCGCTAAAGAATTATCACGGCGCCACCTTTTCATTATCGAGCAATCAGCGTTTCATCATTTGGCGTTATCGACGGGAAGGGCAACCAAGACATAGACTATCGTTCACGGGACACGAGGGGACAAGAGAAAAAGATCTTTTGGATTACGCGATATAATTCGGACGGGGCCGAGAGAGAGCATACACGGGATTCTCACGACTTGTTACTTGTTTTATTCTCACATTTTCATCAGCGGGCAGCATGAGGGAGATACTTTCTCTCCTTCACTTGATGGGGTTCTACTATTTTCGGTCATCTCAGGGTTTAGGGAGGAGGCGTTGCTCATGCCATGTATGGTCGGGCAAATCGCCCGATCAAAGTACCGCTTTCGGTTCATGTCTTTCCTATTTTCCTAGTTTTTTGTTTTGGTTACTTAGGCCACAGGAGTTGGAGATACCATGGAAGTCCAGGAATCGACATTGAGAGGAGAGAACGGGCACAAAAAGCAAATGGCATTTTCGGATACCAGAGATCGACCGACCGGCAATCAGACAGAGGACGGAAGGGAAGGAATCTCTTGAGTTATTATTCTTATTTTGTTTCTTATTCTGTTTCGTTTTACGGGGAGCAAGCCTGCGAAGGATGCTCTGTCATGTTTTAATGATGTTTCTGAGAATTGATGGGGTCGATCCCCTTACTCAACAAGCAACTTGCCATTTTACTATGAGCTCAGACGTGATGTGAGACCCCAAGCAAACGAAGCAACTGAATTTTGAAGGATTGATGGAGAAAAGACTGGAAAGGAAGTATGAGCGGGCCCGCATCTGAAACAGATCGATTTCTTCGGTGGATGAATGCTACACTACACCTAGTCCCTGCTCGACATATGAGTGCAGTCGGGTTATGTTATTCATGTGGTAAGTGTGTTGTACATGCTCACGTAAACCTCCTTGTCCAGCTCCCGCCAGTTCATCCGAGCAGGGCGCGAGTTTCGACGTTAAGACGAGGGGAGGGAGGCGTGTGTTTAGGGTAAGGATGTTCTGATGATTGTCTGAGAGCCGCAAGGGCGACGGACGGATGGAGCTGGGCAGAGCCTTAAAGCCGTTCTCTATTCGGCTAAATAATGATAAGACTCGAAGCGACGGTGTGGTTTGCATGGTCAATCTGACTTTGGGGAGGGCGTGGAGTGGCTGGGTGGGTGGCTAGTATGAAGCAAGGGGGTTTTGTTGAACACTATATCTTAGCCCATGTCGTTTGACGAGTGTCTACGTTTCTGGTGGGCTCATTGATCGATCGAGCTACGTCCCCTAGCTTCCGTTTACAGTATGTTCTCGCGAGCGAAACCGGAAAAGTGTTGTCATTGGCAATGGTTGGGGTAGTAGGTGGGTGAATCAAATCCGTGAAAAGGAAAAGGGGGGGGGGGGGGTTCGAGGTATGAGCAACAATTACCCTTCCACTGTGTAGCCTGCCGCTCACTGACTGAGACCCCGATTCGAGGAGCACTGGATAGTGTTGTAGTGTTGTGCTTGGCGGGATCGGAGACTGATATATTTGGAATTGGATCATATTAAACGGCAGGGAAGAAAGTGTGACCGACGATGGGGAGGTGTATGAAACCTGCCCATCGGTTTTTGTTGGACAAAACAGGCACCCTTATCGAAAAGCAGTAATACAGTCTAGGACCCAAGAGGGAGGGATAGCTGGAACTAAGACTTACATACAACACGAGGCCTTAATAAACGAGCGTAAATTAAGCCGCATCTCCACCACTAACTTTCCCTGCTCAATGCTCCATGTCAGGCCCTGTGGAACGGTTCTTGCAAACTCTTCAACTCTACTACAGCCAAAAAGTGACATCCCCTTGCTATTATAGCATGGCACTTGTCAATATTCGATATACATGCCGTTCGGGAGTACTTGATGGTCAATACTTTCTGGCGCATACGGTCAACTCCATGTCTCGTTCTACTATTGCTTAATTGCATCAAGGGAAACGTCAAAATCGCTTATATAGGGAGTTTATTCTATTAACAGTATAACACGGCAACATCGTTAGATTAAGGCCCCCAATTATGTAGTAATCGATTTCCCACATCCTGTAACGCCCATCCCGTTACACTTTCTTTATCAGCCCAACATGGCCTGCCATCAAGCCCACAACATTCCGTGGAATATCTTGAGCTCAAACTTTAAGTATTCCTACTGTCAACGCGGGCATGAAGGCCGAACCAATCTGTACCCCCTATTCAAGGAACGTCAGGGGAAAGAGCTGCACTACTTCATCGAAGCCTTTAGAAAAAACCTTGCTTCTCACGCCGATGTCGAATTGCGAAAGTACGAAGACACCGCTGCGGTGTTAGAGCCAGAAGACATCTTGATAACAGACGATGTTATGAAGCGCATAAGATCGACTGTCCATCACTGCGACAAAGCCGTTTATTACTTTGAGGAGTTTTCAGAAAAGCCCGGCGTCATCCCTCCTAGATATAGAAAGGCCGGCGCCTTCCTCCATCCTTCAGAGGAACTGGGATGGCAAGGCAAAGCTGTTGCCTACAGCCTCGAGTTGTTCAAGCTGCTAATTTTGTACGGCGAGATGGGTCCTCTGCAGCACATCTGCCAACATCCGCATGCAAATTGGGTTGACGCCTGGGAAAAGCACAGAGACGCTTACGGTGACCAGAATGAGTGCGGCTGGGGCCACGTAGCCACAATGGCTCTAGAGGCATACCTGACTCTGAATTTGCTGCTGTGCTTTCCTCAGTTGTGGGATGAGGACAGCGGCCGCGACGGAAAGTCGGATTACCGGAACACAAAGTGCTATCAACGCATGCTTAGAGAGTGTACAATGAGGAAGCTTGCCTCAAACATCGCTGCGCTTCCACATCGTCAATTCTTCGGTATAACGGAGGGGCAATTTGACCAATATGGGTCCTCGAAGCATGGAGGGAAGTATTCCTACATGCTCGAAGCGAACGGGAGGCGGGAGTATCCGTACGGCGTGATGCCGATTCACGACTTTCTCGAGTTGGAAAGCAGGCCAGCTTATCAGCCTAATATCCCTGACGTTCTTCACGTCCGATGGTGCCTTTGTGAGCTTGGCCTGCCAACGGAAATCGCGATAGAAATTATGGATGCTGCGGGCTACGTGCCTACGAGACGGCTCGAAGAACCTCATGACCCTCTACATCCGAGCAATAGGGAGGAGCTACGGAAGTATCTCGATTATTGCTGGAACATACTTGTTAGATGTGAGGTCATGAGCAGATGGCTTGGAGACAAAATACCTTGGGATATCATCGTGTCTAGGACACTGATAGAATTAGTAGGCGAGAAGCATCATACGCATGGCACACATGGAAGAAAGCTGTATGAGCAGGATTTTGAGTTGGACGAACGTCAAGGATTTCGGCAGCATGAGATGTGGGTCTACCGGTTTTGTTAGGTGCAATAGATGGCCTTCCAATGAGGTTATTATTGGCCTGGTCATCGTCTGATCACCGGATTGTTGTTGGAGCAGTTTAGAGCGCTTCTCACAGATGAGCGCGGGCTGCTGTGTCTCCAAAAGAGCACTAGCAGATTCAATCGTGAATAGAGATGGTTACGTGTTTTTAGACGAGCATGGCTAGTTCGTATCCCGAACACACAGTGTCCAAAACAACAGCAAACCTCCAATGCGGCTGTGTGTCCAAAGCGGGTGGATTTATTTAAGCCGGTCTTTGGGACCTATCAGAATAGCCATTGGGTCGTTATCGTGGTGCCAGGTTGAACTACATTCACACCGAGAAACGCGAGCGTTTGTGGATAAATATATCGGAGAGCTGAGGATTCGTACGGAAGGAAAACCCCTTTTTACTTGACAACTATGATGGATCGTGCATGAGCCGGTTGGTTGATAGTGGACAGGTTAATTAAGCTGTCATAACAGATCGAACGACGATACATAGATAAGAAGCACCTTGCACCTTTTTCCCTCCGATATCAGTCAATGGTAATTCGTTGACTACATGTGCTAAGCTCAAGTGCGTCCATCAACCGACACCCGGCAGCCATCAAGCTGCCAAGTCAAGCGAAAGCGCCAAACCAGAAAGCCAGGTTCGACGCCAGCGCGGGATGAATTTCTGGATTGGGCATAGTTGGCTAGGATTTCGATGTGCAAGTGCGGGGGGGAGGACCACCTTTCTTCCCATTTTCCCTCTCCGTTGGAGTTTTTCGAGTTTGATGAAGAAAGAAAGCTGATGTAAGGTATGCTAGGTGGCTAGCTAGTATAGATGGGTTCTGTCGGGGCTGCGATCACTTATCCACCAGCCCCCCGCTCCCCCTCAGTTGCATTTTTGGTAAAGAATAAGGTGAGCTAGACCGTCAGTTCTCATCCTGCCGCTTGCTTATTTGCTCCGGTCAGTCCTCCACTTTCCGTTACAGGCGCACCCCTCGCAGGCACACTTGGGCGTTGTAATCCCCTCCTGCTCTTCTTCTTCCCTTATCAGCTGCCCAATTCGCCTGGGATCAACCAAAACAATATTCGGCGCCTGCAGATTGATCCCCTACTGCCAGCGCTATGTTGCTGTACCCCGACCTCTCTCTATCCATCTTACCTTAGGCACTCAACCCTCCTTGGCCGTTTCCCAGTCCACACATCACACCGACCCCTTCCCGTAAGGTCGTAGTTGCCCGCTCTTTCGCACTTGTTGTCCCGCCTCTAGTTAGCAAATCCTCGTCCAGTTGTGAATTGCGCCGTTTTTTCTTCTTCTTACAACTTCTCCCAACGCGGCGATCGGACATCAACTCACTCCCCCCGCACCGCCAGCGCCCGTCCCGTCTCGACATGCGCATTCTTGACAACTGCGACCCGAATCTCGGTCAGATCCTCAACTTCGCGAGGGATCCCAGCTGAACTGCACCACCGGTGTCTAGCATAGTCGTCTTGGAAAGCTGCGCTGTCGGGCCCGGCCCCTCGTTCGATTGTACAAAAGTCTAGCGCGGAATTAGTGAAAAAAGGATATCCCGGGAAGAGGACAAGGAAAAAGGACAGTCCCTCTTCAGCAAACCCCCATCGGTGCCACTGCCGAATGATGGGTGGAGCTGCCCATGTGCAAGTTGAGATAGCGTTGCGATAGCAGTGTTCCAGCACTTTGTACGCCTCACCAACGTCTCTCCTTCCTCCAACTCGCCAACCCCTCCAAATCTTGCTCTCAGAGCGCCTCTACCCCCGGCTGACCAAACCTTTTGACCGGACAGAGCGTTGCATCTCCTCTGTCCTCTCATTGGATCACCACCCCTGCCTCCGAGCCTCGACCGGCCCGGCCGCCGCCCGGAAAATAATTCTAACTGAAACCCGCCCGTCCTATCTCACTCAATCGCTCTCCTCCGCTGCCGCGTTCGCGCGCCTGCACAGCAAAAATGCCCGCCCATTCGCCGCCCTCGCCGACTCTCAAGCCGACGAAGCGCCCGCGTCAGGGCTCCTACGACGACAACTCCCCAAACTCAGGCGGCAATGACCAGAGCCCGGCCGCTGACAACCAACACGAACCCACCGCTGGTGCTGGTTCTACCTCGCTTGCTGACAAGACCGGCGGAAAGCCGGGCCAAAGCAGTAACTTCCGCAACGTAAGCGCATGCAACCGCTGCCGTCTACGCAAGAATCGATGCGATCAGAAGCTCCCCAGCTGCGCTAGCTGCGCAAAGGCCGGCGTTGCCTGTGTGGGTTACGATCCTATCACGAAGAAGGAGATTCCTAGAAGGTATGTCGCGCTGGAACTGGAACACAACACTCTTCCTCGGGCTTGGCGGTGACGATGCGCTCAAGAGGTTGCTGACCAGACCCAAGCTATGTGTTCTATCTAGAAACTCGTGTCGAGCAGCTGGAAGCGCTGCTTGCCAACAACAACATTCCCTTCCCACCCGCCGAGAACCTCGAGATCTGCTCACGCCCAGGCAATGATGCCCCGAGATCGACTACAGACGCTGGTCACTCGGCACGATCCGAAAGCCTCGAAGGAAACGGACTACCAAAGAACAACGTGCACCGCCCTGACTTGGACAAGGCCAAGAAGGCCGAGAGCGGGACGGGAACTGCAATGCTCGATATTGTCGCACCCTCCAAACCGCGATCGTTGGCCTCTGCCTCGGGCGTTTCGTTCAACCGCGTTGTTTTTGCAGCTGTGCAATACTCTGTATCGGACCAAAATGGCGCCAACGACAGAGCAGGAAACAAAGGCCTCCCTATTGGCAGCGGCACGTCGATGCGCGACTCTTTCTTTGGCCTGCACACTAAGCCAACCATTCGCCCGGCAAACTTTCCTGAGCGGGATGTTGGTTTGAAGCTCGTGACGCTTTATTTTGAGCATGCGAATCCTCAGATACCCATCCTCCACCGTGGGGAGTTTATGCAAATGTTTGACCAGGCTTATGCCAGTCAGGGCGGGCCAAAGGGACCCCGGGAGTTGTATATGTTGAACATGGTGTTTGCCATTGGCTGTGGTGTCATCGTGGGCGAGCCCGTGAAGTCTGAGGGATCTGGGGCCGGGCCACGCAACCCACCAGACGCGAACAAATTTGGACAGGCCCAGCCAGAAGAGTACCATGCAAGTGCTATCGTGCATCTTGAGGCTTGTCTGGGTAACAGTGGTGGCGGGCTGGAGGTTCTGCAAGCCGTGCTTTTGCTAGCTAATTTCGCGCTCCTCCGGCCGGTGCCACCGGGACTTTGGTGAGTTTGACCTGTGATTCCTCGATTGACGTGCACCGTAGCTCTAACGTGTCTTCGTAGGTATATAATTGGTGTCGCCGTGAGATTAGCAGTTGACCTAGGGCTGCACTATGAAGATGGCAGTGACGTAGCGAAGGCCATGCTTGACCCCTTAGGTAAGATCAAGGAAGAGAATGGTGAGATGAACGAGTCAAGTGAAGCCCAGTCACGCGGAAAAGGCCGGAAACTGTATATCCGTGATATGAGGCGAAGATTATGGTGGTGTACTTACTCCCTGGACCGCCTGGTGAGCACTTGTGTGGGCCGCCCCTTTGGTATCAGCGACCAGGTCATCACGACGGAATTCCCGTCGTTGCTGGATGATCAGTACATCACTTCCACCGGCTTCCTAGATATGCCGCCTGATTCAACGGAGCCGAGCTACAAGCACGTAGCGTACCACTACTTCAAGTTGCGCCTGTTGCAGTCTGAAATTCTCCAGGTTCTGCAGTACAACCAAACACAAGTAGTGCGAGCCACGGGTCAGAACATTACAAACTCAGACATGCACACACATCTACCCTCTCCATTCCTCGTCAAGTTTGACTCTTTCCGCTCCTGGCGCATCGACATTGACCGGCGGCTTTATCAGTGGAAGAATTCAGCGCCCACGAGAGAGGAGACGGGTGTCGCGTTCTCGACCGAGTTTCTGGAGCTCAACTACTGGCAGGCCATCATAATGCTCTACCGCCAGAGTCTCAGTGTCCCCGCCATGTTTGAGGGCGAGTATAATACCTCGAACGAGGTGAATAGCCCTACGGCGTTCCAGGCCGAGCTCCGCGAGGACGAAGATAGAATCTATCTCAAGGTTGCCGAGGCTGGCCAGAAGATTTTACGTATCTACCGGCAGCTTCATCTCAGCGGACTCGTTAGCTACACTTACCTCTCTACCCATCACTTGTTTATGGCCGGCATCTCATATCTCTACGCTATCTGGCACTCGCCGATTGTCAGGAGTCGACTGGTGAGCCATCCAAATCTGTTAATTGTGGCTTTGTTCTAACATTCAACTAGACAATGGATGAAGTAGACTTTACAATCTTGGCAGCCAAGTCTGTCTTCACCGACTTGATTGATAAGTGTCCCCCGGCAGAGACCTGCCGTGACGCCTTTGACCGTACGGCAAAGGCCACCATCAAGATGGCCAACTCGACCGGCGGCTTCGGCTCTGTGCCTCCTCGCAAGATGCGCGAGAACAGATTCGAGTGGAGCTCCGCCAGCGGCGACGGCGCCTCAACATCTACTGCAAGCGTTCCGCGCCGCCGCCAGCAACAGCAGCAGTTCCAGCAAGGCAACTTCCAGCCCGACCGTGCCCTCTCCGATACCCTTTCCTCCCCCAGCCTCTCAGTTGCCGGCGACTTGCCCCCGCGTAACTCACCGCTAGCTACAGACTTCAACATGATGGGACAGGGCAGCCCGTCAGAGATTGATCCTTCGTTTGTAGCGTCGCCGCCCGTTCCGCGCCGGCTTGCGGCTCAAAGATCCAGCAGTGGCGGTCCTTTTATGAATCAGCAACAGCAGCAGGGGTCTTACAATGTGACTGATTACCCCGACATTCAAAACATGGACTTCTTCCAAAGTCTCCAAGGAAGTTCCAATGGCGAGGTGGGCCCCAACGGCGACGGGACTACTCCTCAGCTTGACCTCGGCTTCGGCATTAACTGGGACAACATGCACCACGACTTCAGCGACGGGCAACAGATGAACATATTTGATGGCTTCTTCTTTGGAGGACAGCAGCAGCAGCCGCAGCAGCAGCAGCAACAACAACAACCACAACAGTCACAAGACCAACAGGGCCGGAATGGCAGTAGCGCCAACGGCAATGGCAGAGGCGGCATATAACGACAATGCCGTGAACATAAAAGACCGCCATCAACAACGTCAAACCATATATTACAACCTTCGCTCAGATTTGCGAGCTATATATATACACATCTAATAACTACATGGATGAAGATACGACACAAGGAAAACGGACCGAAGTGAAAATGAGAGAAGACAGTTTTGTACGCATTGCATAGCCGGAGCACGGTGTAACCCAGCAAAATGTACAGAGGAGGGTACGTCCATAAAGTGGCGGAAGGAGTTAACCAAAAAAGCTTGGGAGGGCATAAGTTGTGTGCAGCTGGGATTTTTTTTTAAAAAAAAAAAAAAAACCAGTTGCTTTCGATTGTTTGTATTGGTATACCCCACAAAACAAAAGAAGAAGGACGTGAAAAAGGAGGGTGTGGGTTATACGTTGGCAGTGAGCCAGCCAGCGAGAGATGTATATTTTTCTTGTTCATGAATTGAGGTGGATTCACTTTTACGCCGGCCTTCCTTTTCTTGCACATGGGTATTTGACTCGTGCCTCCAATCTCGCTTTGTCTTGGTTGACTTGAAGTGATGCGGAAGAATGTGTATACGTCACGATTAAGAATGTGCTGCTTGTGTGTGAGTGTTTCTGGACGTTTTCGTTTCACACGTGATAGAGAGACGAACGCCGTCATCACAGGAGAACCGACTTGAGGCACAATAATACTGCAATAGAGGAGTTTTTTTTTCTTTCTTCTTTCCCGAGTTTTATTTTTTTTTATTTTTTTTCCAACAGCGGTAGATAGTCTATCCGCCCAACACAATACAATGAAACGATGTTTGGGTGTGTCCCGATTGAGTCGAACTGTCGCCCCATCAGCGAGACTGTTCTTATTGCAAGCTTGTCATCGTGACGGCCGATTATCAATATCCGTGCAGCTCGAATGGATAACTGACCATGCTAGGAAACCCAATTCACTCGCCATGCTCCCTTGCTCAATCTTACATCCTCATCCGTCTGTCCACTAGTGACCAACCCCCTTTCCCTTGGCGGCACCTTAAACCACTCATGTCCTAGTCTTACTCTCGCTGCTTGATCTCTGCGTAGTTGGATGTTGCCGACTGCTGCAGGAGCCAAGTCATAGGGTAGCCGACCAAGGCACCGACAGCACACAGGAACGTGGCGAAAAGGGACCAAGCGTACCAGGCCCAGGGCCCAACAACAGGGGTGATGAACTTGAGCCACTGACCGACCTGGTAGTGGTCTTCCTGATGGACGACGAACTGGCGCTGTCGGGAACCGAAGGTGGGGGTGTCGCTCTGGTTGCGAGGCAGCGGGCGCCCGTCGCCGTCGACGGTACGTGTCTCAAGGCGGAGGACAACAACGAAGTCGACAGGCGCGGAGTAGAAGGGCACGAACCAGAGGCGGAAGTCCTGGTGCATCTTTACGTAGAGAAGGTTGGTCTTTTGGTCTTGGACTGTGTGTTTATTAGCACTTCCATGTCTATTATTTAGATCCCGCATGCGTGAAAGGAGGCAGAAGGAGTATACGGTCAACACATACCCGTTGATTCAATTTCCATGTTAATGTTGGGGCTGAGGATCCGGTACCAACGGTAAACCATGAGGATGAACAATCGCGAGTTGAGAATGGGGAGGAAGGGGAGCTGGATGTTCCCGAAGGACGGCACATGGCAAAAGGGATGGGTGAAAGAGGCATCCTCGACAAAGTGCGAGTACAAAGCGTTCTTCTGCTTCTCGGGGGTGCCTTGAACCAGGTCCCGGATGACGGTTCTAATCTCCTTGACTGGGAGGTGTCAGTAATCTCTTCTTCATGATTGACAGTGACAGTGAGACCGGTGCCGCAGCACTCGGGGCTGCAGCTATTCAAGGTCGGGCCACACGGGTGTGCAAACTCTTGAGTACAAGCTCTACAGCTGAAGGCGTGTGAGAACAGCAGGGGTGGGAGCCTCATGCGTACCTGGGTGCTCCATTGTGTGCGACGTCAGCTATGACTTGTTTGAGGGGTATCGTTGTTGTTGGTGGTCGTCTGGTAACAGACGAGCTCGGTAGGGGTATATGGGCCGTGGATTCGCAACGTTACAGACAAGCCAATCATTCAGGTACTTTAGAAACGCGCTCTTAATGTTTTTGAGAATAGGCGACGAAGAGAAAGAGAGTAAGAGAGGAAGAACTTGACAGGATAAGAGCTGAGGAAAGTTAAATGTTAAAAAGAGCACTGCTTGCTTAGGTGTGCCTATGAAAATGAAATGGAGGGAAGCTATGATGTCTCATAGACCGGAGCTCTTCCTCACCAAGGGTGCACTAGCGTATCAAACTTGCAAATAAAAAAGGGATGAAAGGCATCATTCGCTCCCGCCGGGTGGGTAGCATGTCTGATGGCAGTCTGTTTTGTCCCGCGAACAATCCCGTCGATGAGGCGCCTTAACCCCCCACAAGTGTGCCGAAGCTCGCAGGTGATGTCATTCTGAAACTATTAGCACCATTGCGCCCAAGTCCGGGGAAAACATGTGAAAAGTAGCTGCCCGCGCCCTGTTATTGGTCAATCCGTCCACCCCCGCTAGCAGAGCCACCTGCCACCACTTAAGTTTAAGCCTGGCAGGGAAAGTATGCTATATCCTCTACCATCAGGGTTTACGAAGAGAATCAACAGTGAAAGAAGGGGGAGAAGGATTCTGGCGCATCGAGATCCTGACACGTCTTCTCTCTCCCTTTCTCTTTCTTTTGTCTCTTTTTTTACACTTTAAGGTTCAGGGAAGCCTAGGCAGCATCCGCATATCATTGCATCTACCGTGCATGGTATGTCAAGCGCACCGAGGTTAAGCTTAAGGTGCTATCCTCTTTGGGTCACAATTTCGTAGACATGTAAAGAAAGCATCTTCAGATGACGGCTCACAAGACCCAGCAACGTGCGTATGCCCGTTCCTGGGGTGGATTAATTAACTCTCGCCTGAAGGCGTATGTATATACACTCACAGCTCCGTTTCACTAGCTCGAGTGTGCAAGCAGAATGAATCTACACAAGATAGAAAAAAAAAAAAAAAAAAGGAAAACTTGCAGTACCGAATAACCGGCAACCTCGTCGTGATTCGGGAGGCGCTGCGGCTCCGCTTCAAGTGTCATCACACGCCGAACAATCTGTCGATCGGGGGACTGTTCCGTATTCGGGAAATGCTGAGGATCAACAATCCCCAGGATGAGGAATGCGGACATTCGTATTGAAAACGAACGTGTTCTGTTCTCCACATCTGAGATGGTGTCACCGTCATCCATTCCGTCTGATGTTCCCCAGCTTCAACCGGCTACTCTTGTCTCCGGCCCCGTTCGACGTACATCGCATACCACGCTCCGTTCACATACCACTGAGGCTTCCCAAAACATTCATACAGCATTTCTCATCATCCTCATACAAGCGCTGCGCCCGAAATCCTTTGCCGTCGCCATCGCCATCGCCCAACGCGGTACGACAGATCCATTACAACATGTACCCAGCCTTATGGCTAGAAAACATTCAACCCAGTTATATACCGCCCAAGCTCAGTAGTCTCGGCTCCGGTGCCGGCTATGTCTCTGCGAGCTGCTGCGTCGCCGCCTTCTCCTCTCTGGCGTATGCTCCTCGATTACTACCACCTCATCATCCTCATCATCTGACACCACCCTGGGCGGCGGCGGCGGCCGGCTCGCTCTGCGCTCCTGCATCGGGGGGTCCGCATCCACGATAATTGGACCAGGCCCCCTGCTCACGCTCTCTCGTTCCCGGACTCTCACCTCCTCCGTCGCGATTATCCTTGGACGCGGGCTGCGGTGTTTGCGGTGACCATGGCGACTGCGGGAACGCCTCACCGAGAGCACCGAGGTTGCAGTGCCGGTATACACTGTTGAGGTCTCGGCCTCGACGGGTCGTCCGAAGTTGAGGCAGGTGTAAATCATCCAAAGAATGAGCAAGAATCCAGCAACGGCGCCGAGGGTAACGCCAGCTATCGCTCCTGGGCTGAGAGGGGACCAGCCGCCGTAATGAGCGGGCACCACATCGTCGTCGTCGAGGTTTTGCCGGTGGAGGATGGGCATTGCGTCCTCAGTCGGATTGCGCGTCAAGTGACGTGAGTAAGGCGTGCAATGCCAGTCTCTAGTGTGTCGTCGCGAAATGAGCCGCTCGCAGCCGCAGAGTGGCGGCTGTGATGGGCTGAATCGCAAAGATACTGTCGCAAGTATCGTGTCGAGGCACGGTCGTTAGATCACAAGTGATGATGAGCGCAGAGAATTCGGTTGATGGATCACTCGGACGAGAACTGCGTGCTGCACGATGCGTGTCGGGCTTAATTACTTGTCAAATCGTCGGTTGCGACGTTGCAGTGTCGCAGAGCCTGAGACAATTCCCTAGCGCTTCGCTGGGCGTCAACAACGGCGAAGCCGCTGTATTCTGGCAAATGGACTTTTTGAGGCGGATCAGGATTGGATGAGTGATGGCGGAACGAGCGAGCGTCGTGGCGACTGGGCCCGACGTGGGATGGACGCGTAAAAAGCAGGCTGGCTAACCAGAAGACATTGAGCAGGAAAGGGAGCGACGGATGGGAGAGAATGATGGATGACACGGAAGGACGGGGTGCAAGAGACTTGAGAGAGCGGATGCGAATCATGATTGGAGCACTGACTTAGATGCGTCTGCACAACACACTCACACTTGCTTGCACCCGTACACCCCAATTTACTACGTAGGTCTTAGTACACTCGCACTTGCGCTTGTGTTGGCCAGTGGCACTTCATGGAAGTCGATGGGGAAAAACGGCTCGAGCGATGCCAACGCACCATTTCCCAACTGGGCGGTGAATGGACAGGCAACACGCCCTGCGAGGCCCCCGCTTGGTCCACTGCAGCCCGGCCCGATGCAAGGGTCGTGCCCTCTGTCGCTGCACGGCAACCACACAGATTCCCCACTTTGTCTATCTTTGGTGATTTCGATGGCAGGAATCATTTGGTTTGCGACATATCAAACACTCTTCTTCTTGCGAAGAATAGTTTCGCCACTGGTTTTGAAGCTTCATTTTCATTGCAGCCTTTTTCTTCGGTATATAAGAATAGTAATTGCTCAGTGAAAAAAATGACCTGTTCCAGCTAGCCGTGACAGTTCGACCACGCCGGGAATTCTTACTATTGAGCGCTGCTATATGCGGGGCGTCCAACTCGTAAGCTTGGGTAATATGTCCATAGAATATTCTGGACAAAAGTCTTCCACGTCTCGGAATGATTCATACAACAACCGGCATTCACCTGGCCAAGTAATGCTGGCTAGGATGGGCACGAGAGCTCACCTACGTCCTAAGCAGGTACTGTGATGACAAACAACTCGTTCGAAGTGTCGCTTGTCATAAACAATCTGCCCTTGCCGTCCCAAACAAGACCTACAGGCCGGAAGCAGCTATTTGGACACACGGCGCTGTTGCTGTTCCACATCACCTTGACTTCGGCTGTACGGCTGTTTGCTGGAGCAGTAGGCTGGCCATTGGCTCCGAAGTCAACCTTGCTGAGCCGATATCCATCAGGAGGCTGTCGGTTCCTAAAAATATATGTTAGCTTCCATCAACTCCATAAGAAAACTCATCAAGGACTTACCAGCTACCGTGAAAGGAAATGTATGCGGACCTTCCGTTAGGGTGAAACTTAATGTCCAACGGAGCAAGGTGCGCTGGGAAAGTGAGTCTTGGTGCAACTGGTGTTGACTGGCAGTATTGGTCTGTGATCTGACCAGATGGGCTGCCCTGAATGACCTGGCTCCCAACTTGAACATTGGGGACTCCACTGATCTTGCTCGTATCCCAGACGGCGAAACAGTTGGGATAGCCATAGTTGGCTCCCTTGTATTGATTAGAACTCGAGTTGAAAATGCCGTGATAGTTGAGTTCCTCGCCAGGGTTATCGTTGTGGATGTCCACGCCGTTCCGGGCCATGTTGTCCAAAGAATTCTCGACTGACCACTGACAAGAAGTTAGCCTCAGGCGTGTGTCTGCGTGATCGCCAAATACTAACGATGCCACCGTCCACGTTCTCACCAACACCAACGCTATTGCGCAGCCCCCACCCAAAGACTTCTCCAGTAGTATAGGCAACAGGGCCTCCAGTCAGCTTGTTCAAGTCAAAAGCACGGATCTGGCTACGTCCAGATGGTATCTGGGCCGTCGCAACGTCGAGATTGTCCTCAGAGCCACGCGAAACAAGCAGGATGTTTGGATTAGTCTTGGGAATCAGCAGAGTCCGAGTGTGATGGAACCCGCCCTGCGCCATTCCGTTGATGATGGAACGAGCCTGCCCAACCGTGCCGGCGGCCGCATCGTAAGGATAGGCGAACACTTCAGTTCCAGATGAGGCGTATAAGGTCTTCCCATCCGCCGAGAGGGCGATACCATGGGTAAGCTGGATTTTATTAGCGAATGGGACGAGTCCTTGAAAACTCGCAGCTTACCTGTCCATTCGGGATGAGCTGCTTCTGGGAAGCAACACAGACATTCACACCGCCATTGTCTGTCAACTTGACGTATCGGACGCCGCTGCCGCCCTGTTCAGCGATGAGAAGGTTTCCAAGTTTATCAAAAATAAGACCGCGCGGGGTTTTCAGCCCGTTCATGACAAGCTTCGCTGCATAACCCTGAGCCAGCGAAGGCTGCGAGACGGGAGTTAGGTTCGGGCATTGAGCAACCGTTCCTGGAAAAACTGCTGCCGATATGATCGCGACGAATGCTGCAAAAGATTTGAAGGGCGCCATCTTGGTAACCAATACTGGCACGCGGGTCGGTACAAGCCTATCTGTTCCTGTATCTACGGGGAAATACAAGACACCTTGAAGAGGTATCAGAAATATATTTCTAGTCGGCACGACGTCTAGAGTCTTGTTCAGGCAGGCGATGCCAGAAGATGAACGGGACGAGCAAGAGCCGCGATGTCTAAGAGAAGCAGCAGACGGCTTCCTTCTCAGGTATCCACCAGGAGCGAAGGGCCGGAACTGCCTTCAAATATCTCCACGGGACCAATATTGGATCCGGCTGCCTGCCTGCTGCGACGGAAAACAACCATGCAACTAACAAAAGCAAAATCAGGAGAACCAAGAAGCTTCTCTCCCTAGCAGACCGAAAGCGGGGATGGCAATCTGTAGATCTTGGCCCTTGGACCCCCTCCCTCGCATTCTCTATCAAGTTCAAGGCGAAACAAAGTGCCGAAAGGATGATGTATGCCCCAATATCCCAAAATGTATTCAGCCGAGAGGACGTTGACAAGAAGGGCTACCGAGGCCTTCCCCCAATATTCGCCAAGCAATCACGTCGCATGCAATGCAACAAACTGCCGGCGGGTGACTACCTATCACGGCAGCTGGCAAGACAAACGTAGCAGGGGATCCTGTCTGCTCCTTGGTCTTCCTGATTGCTATGAGGCCAATGGGAATGACGACGGTGGAGGGCAGGGAGGCCAACTTCTTTTATACAAAGCCGTTTGGCCATGCCCGCAACCGGCTGATCACCTTGGCGCCATAACCGCTGTGATAAGGTTGAGGTGGCCCGCCGCGGGAGCCGGTTCTGTGCCAAATCAGGTCCTGTTGCTTAAACTGCAAGTGGTAGTCCGGTGACGATTGATTGTTGATCCATAGAGCAGGGAGAACTTTGTCTGCGGGGAAGGAATCTATGTCGTCAAACTGAGACGTCTTGGTTAGGGCATCTTGAAATAGGCTGTTCCTTGTGCCCACGAGCCTTTCCGCATTACGCCGATTGGATGGAAATATTACTCCTATAATATGAAGCTGCTGCTCAAACGATTATAAATCAATTCCCCCGACTTATACGCGCAAACTTGGCATACGTGTAGCGACGGGTTTAAGTTGAAGAAATGTGGCTCGTTTGGTATGTCTACATTCGTGCTCCTCCTGACTTGACTTAGGCCGAACTAGCATGATCAAACTAAGCATAACAGAATGATAGAAAAAGCCAAAGCTAGGCAAGTGAAACCAGATGAATTACAGTTTCAATCCTCGTCTTTCCTATGCCGGTGCGATACCTTTTTCAGGTTGTATGACTGGGATATTATCTTGAAGTGCTAAGGAAGGGGCGAGGAGAAGCGCTAAGGAAGTCACACCTTGCTCTGTACCTTAGCTACCGCCTAGACCCTGGCCTCCCAGTAATTAATTCAATGGGCCAGAGTGTTCATCTCAACAAACGTCCGAGATAAATCTCGACTACTCTTCTGGCTCATCCCAACATGCCATGTCATCTTTTCTGACGCCCGAAAAAAACAAAATCGGTTCAATGGATGCTGCGGTCCCCAACAGTCGGGTCGGGTTGATCCTCCTCCGAACATGACGGCCGTCTTGGTGCCTGCTTATTATATCTTATGCTTGCATCTTCAGTAATTAAGACCTGAATGTCAGAATTACAGTGGACAGAAGTCAGCGTAAAACTTGCAGCAATTGGACACTTCCCTGCAAGTCGCATCCAGTTGTGGTCGCACAACAGCTGCAAGACGCTTCTGGTGGCTGATCAACTGATACCTTATGCTGTTGTTTACTGGCTTCACACTGTAGCTAACAACCATCCATCTGTAAAACGTAGTTCATAGTAGATACTGGTCATTCGATTCACAAAACTAAACACCACAAGTACTCTCGGTATGTCTATAGTAATGTGCTTCGCCTAACGACGTGTACATTTAACAGCTGTAGGCACCCGCCGCTCGTCGTCACTTTGGCTTGCAGAGAACGGTAGGCGATGCAATTCGACGGCCTGCCACGCCGCCCACTGCCACAGGCATCAATGACATTAACATGCGTTACACTATTACATGCAGTCAGCAAGTGACCAAGACTCCCCAGGTCCGTCCCGATGACTCAAGAAGTGAACGATGATATTCCTAAACCCAAAAAGGATGCTGTATCGCGTGGATGCAACAATGGACCCAACCCACATTCAACTCAACAAAATGTGGCGTTCACTAATCGCGCTATTCAAGCCTGTCCCAGCCCTTTCGCTTGTTCAGACATATCTCGGCCTGGCAATTATGAATTCTATAAGAGTCCGTCCAGAAGTTGTAGAATGCTGTACTTGTCCTTTTCCAGATTCTGTACACATCTCGCTGTTCTTCTACTGTCCACGACTTTGTGACTTCTCTTGCCCTTCAACATGACCTCCGAAGAACCCAAGCAGACATACCGCGGCAACTGCCACTGTGCTGCATTCATCTATGAGGTTCAGCTTCCTGAGCTCAAGACCGCAAGTGAATGCAGTTGCAGCGTCTGCGTCAAGAAGGGAACTCTCTGGGTGCTCCTCGGCAACGACGACTTCAAAGTCGTCAAGGGTGCCGTGAGCGAGCTCTCGAGCTACAACTTTGGATCTGGGCAAATGACCCACAAGGTAAGTCGACCTCATACTATACAGAATCAAGCATGAAATGAGATTGGGCTGCTCACTTCCGCTGAGTTCTGTGGTAACTGCGGCACCGCTATCATGGTGGACTTCCCCAACGGGCCGCCGGGTCAGAAGATGGCGTTGAATGTAAGTATCAATCCTTCGACCCAGGACCCACTACAGTTACAGGAGCGCGCTGACATGACCTACAGGTGCGCTCGATCCAAGACCTCGACATTGTCGGGATGGTCAAGAAAACGTAAGAGTGCTTGTAAGCAATATGTGATTGGGCATGAGATTGACTCCCTGGCAGATTTGATGGCGCGTCATACGGGGACAAGTACAGTCCTCCCGTCCACAAAGGCCCCAGCCCAACTGCCGATATCGAGGGTGGCAGGGTATACACAGGCAGCTGCCACTGCGGTGATCTCACCGTGGCGGTCATCAGCAAGCCCATTGACGAGACTTATGAGGATATGATTATCGAGTGCAACTGCAGCATCTGCTCAAGAGTTAGTAGACGCACATGCCCGTATCACCGTATGTCCTACAACTGCAACTAACATACGCGTAGAATGGTTACATCTGGATATATCCAAAGGTAGATCAAGTTGTCTTGACAGGAGATGAAGACAAGATTGGCCGCTACTCCTTCTCAAGGAACGTTCTCTACAAGACATTCTGCAAGACCTGCGGCGTCCCAATGACCAATCTTTGCATACCGATGACAAACGAACAAGTCGCCTCTCTGCCTGAGGATTCCCAGTACTGGCATGGGCGAGCCAAGACTGTACACCCTGTTAATGCTAGGATTCTGAATGGAGTGGATCTAAAGGCCCTAAAGGTTCAGCAACTGGATGGCAGGAATGTACACCAACCGGGATATGTGAATCCATAGTAGGTGTTCACTTCATGCTGAATGGGCGGACAGTCGAAGATAGGTTGTATAGTAAGAAACCATCAAGTTGATGTTTTCTTGTGCAAATGAGTCCAAATAGGATTGCCGTTGTCGTCAAAGCGTGCCCACTGGAAGAACGAGCAGCTGTCCTTGCCGGGCACGTTGCCGCCATGGCACATCCAAAAGTATTTCCCGTGATTCTCCTTTTTTCTCTGGACCACTCGAAGCACGCAGGGAATCTTACAATCGCATTTAGGCGTGTAGCGAGGATGCATGTTTGCCTTGTAATCGCGGTATGTGATGTTGATGCGCTTGTTTCCAGCAACCGGGTGTGGATCGATCGATTGTGCGGGCGTGATACTGTGTTTCCACTCTTCCTGCATCTCAGCATGCATAACTAACAACGAGTTATGCGGAAGATGGATCGATATCTGGCCCTCAGCATCGGCATCCTCGGCTGGGTTGTTGTCCCCATCCTTCGGAATGATGCGGCGCACGCGGAATTCTCGTGCCACACCGAGGGATATCGAGCCGATGACAGCGCGGGGACCCAAATAGGTCAGCTGGTCGCTGTGATATCCGACATTCTCCTGGGGCCCGTCATAGCAATTAACAAATGCCGAGTTAGGGGCCCACGGGTTGGGGGATTGAAACCGTAGCTTCTTTCCACCAGGGTAACGAGTCTTGATCCTCTTCTGTATTTCCTCATTTACGGCATCAGCGACCTTGGGCTTTATCTTGATGAGTTGGGGAGTGATGCGGCGAATGTCGGTGAGTTTGGCTCCGTTGTAGAGATAGTCCGTTTTCTGTCTCTGTATTTCATCATAGCTCTCGACATAAAAGCTCGTTGTGTGTGGGCTTGCCACCACGTTATCGAACAGTTTAAAAGTCACATTTTTCTCAAAAGTTTTCGCTTCCTCCAAGAGCTCTTGTAATAAATCATTCGCTTCTTTCGGCGGTAGGAAATTGTGAATCACCGAGCAGGGAGTGTGCTCAGCAATGTCGTCTGGGTCGTATAGATGGAGGGTAGTACCTTTCTTTGAGATAAGTCTCTTCTTCGACGACGATACAGTGTCATTGTCATTGTCTGTCGACTTCAAAGCAAAATTTCTCAGCGAGCTCTGAGCACCCATGACACCGCTGGCTTTCTTGACAGGGTTTGGCGTTTTCAGGGCCTCAAGAGAGTCGGGGACAGACCCATTGTGAGCCAAAAGAACGTCAAGAAGTGCGTCCTGTTCGATGCTTGGATGAAGTGATGACAAAATCGCGAGTTTCATCTCAGTTGGCTCGTCATCTTCCCCTGTCTTATCGACGGCGGGGCTGAGCTTCCGCTTCTTTCTGATGAGAAACGATTCCATGACATAGTGGAATTGGGTCTATGAGGTTGAAATTCTTCCACTTTATAGTTCAATGAGGCTCACCGGGCAGATGTGTTGCCTTAAAAGGGATTCAGTTCCGGACCGAACCACGAGAAAGGCGTAATGACGAGACGCGTGCATAGCGCGAAAGCACGTGCAAGGCCCACTCCACCTGCCCTGGGTGGCCCCTCCTCAAGCCTCCGATAATCGCATGCCCGAGGCCACCCCGCCATCCATCCCCCCAGTGCTTCCCCGTCTGCCGAGGTACCCCGGATCGGTGTTACATCACCGCCCCTGTGGCCCGGACAGAGCTGTCCCGCCCAAAATCATATGCTTTTACCGTGAGGTACCTTACACTTTGTTACTTGACCTCTCCCTCAATTGCACATAGACGGGCCCGCCGCCGCCGCAAACCGCCATGGCCCCTATGCTGGAATTCCGCACCCAGGGCTACAACCCCTACGCTGTGAAGTATTCGCCTTACTACGACTCGCGCATCGCTGTCGCATCGTCAGCTAATTTTGGCATCGTTGGAAATGGTCGAGTCTTTTGTTTGGGTCTGACGGCCCGTGGTGTCGAGGTCGAGACGACGTGAGCCTCTCCATCTCCTCCACTGAGAATAATCGAGCTAACGTGCTCCTGCCTGTCCCTAGATTCGACACAAACGATGCACAATATGACTTGGCTTGGTCTGAAATTAACGAAAACCAGCTCGTCGTGGCCTGCGGCGATGGCTCAATCAAGCTCTTCGACCTAGGCGTCAAGGACTTCCCTGTCATGAACTTCCATGAACACAAGCGCGAGACCTTCTCTGTCAACTGGAGTCCTATCACAAAGGACACTTTTGTATCGAGCTCATGGGATGGCACAATTAAGCTGGTGAGTTGGCAAAACCCCATTACCTCCTCTGTCGCGCCGAAGGCAGTATGGCTGATGTTGCGAAGTGGTCGCCGACCCGTGATCACTCCCTCCGCACCCTCCCCGTCGGAAACTGTACCTATAGCGCCTCTTTCCAGCCCTCCAACCCGAATATCATCTCCGCCGTCTCATCCGACTCCCAGATCCGCATCTTCGATCTTCGCACGCCCGTCTCTTCGCGGTACCACCTGACCTCTATGATTCCCGTCCACGCCGCAGGGCCCTCGTTCCCTTCTGCCGCTCCTGGCGAGGTGCTCACGCACGACTGGAATAAGTACCGCGATACTGTCATAGCCACAGGAGGCGTCGACCGCGCCGTCCGCACCTTTGATATCCGCAACCCTACCGCCGGACCCGTAGCGGTAATGCAAGGGCACGAGTACGCCGTCCGCAGGCTAGCATGGAGCCCGCACGCCGCAGACCTGTTACTGACTGCGAGTTACGATATGACGGTCAGGCTATGGGACGATCGCTCGAACGCGCCGCCCCAGGGACCTGCCGGCGCCGCGCAGGTCGGAGCGCAGGTCGGCATTATGAACAGGCATACCGAATTCGTGGTCGGTGTCGACTGGTGTCTGTTTGGAGTTGGAGGCTGGGTTGCGACGGTTGGGTGGGACGAAAGGGTTCTTTTGTGGGACGCGAATGCTCTGCTTGCAGGCGGCTGAAGCTACCACTTTCATTTGAGTCGGTATGTCTCCTGGGTTGTGCGCAAGCTGTGTTGATCATTTGGCGGGCGTTCAGGAGTCTCTAGAACCAGCGTCTTCGAAAAATAAAGTCAGAGACAAGGAGTTCGGCTTTTGTTGACGCAGTATTGGCATCACTATGGCGTTGGCGGCGCGAGGTCTTGATGTTATGTTGCGTGGGGAAGGAAGCTATTGCTCGAAATCGAGTGGGAGAGGAGGCATTTTGTCCTATGTCCTAGCTGATACCATATATCTTCCAGTCGTAAAGGGAAAAAAACCACATGTAATGCCATGAACTGTGAACGAGTCAAGTTGCACAAGTGACTGTCTGCCTTCAGCTGTGTTCGATCACAGTTTAGGCATAGCACTACCTCGACACAAACAGGAACACCAGACACGCAGAAGTATTGCAACTTTTTAAAAGAAGAGATTCGGAGATTTTCTCCAAGATTATATACATGGCTATAGTCGTGAGTTTGTTTTCGTTTTATACAGCAAGTTGAAAAGACTTTTTTTTTTCGAATCCGTCCCGATGTGGTGATACAGCAACAGCACAACCCAAATTCGCCCCAGCAGACATTTAACCTGGCTCCGTAAAAATAAAACAGTTCTATGATACAAATCTGCCTGCAAAACAGATCAAAGGGAATTTGGGGGGTGGGGGTATGATATCTCTAAACCGTGTCGAGGCCGGCACCGTCACGGACCTCTCTCCATTTCACATTTCTCTGCGCACTTTCTTCCTCCTACTGATGCGTCTCCTAGAAGGACGCCCTTTCACGTCTCTCGAAGCGTCGATGACGATCGTTACGATCGTTGCGGTCGAAACGGGACTGCTGGCGCATCCTGTCGAACCCGTCACGGGGCTCGCGACGGTCGAAGCCACGGTCGAAGCCACGATCCCGGCCGAAGCTGCGCCCCTCATCTCTTGAGAATCTGGATGATCTTTCCTCTCTGTCTCCAGTGTTGATATCACGAATTCCCCTCAGGCCGCGCTTCATGACGCTGCCCGGGTTCATGTACGGAGTGTTGTCCCTCTTCAAACCATCCACAAACCACTCCTTCAACTCTCTTGCCCTCTCATGCGCAGACTTGACGTCGAACTGTCCCCAGAGAGACAAGTATGCAGTCTCAAGGACGTCTTCCCGCACCCTAGCTGTCGCCTCGGTCACTTGCTTGGTGATCTCGTTGGGCTCGTCGCGGCTGAAGTCGATCTGGGCAGACTCGAGAGTCGTGTTGGGCTCGATGGGAAGACCGCCCAACTCGTTGCGGGCCTTTCGGATCTCGCACTCGGGGATAATGAGCCAGCCTTCGCCGTCCTTCTTCGCACGACCGGTTCGGCCGAGTCTGTGAATATACTGCTCGCGGTCGCTAGGGGCGCCAACCTGAATGACGTGGGTAACGTTGGGGAAATCCAAACCTCTTGCAGTGACGTCAGAGGAGAAGAGGATACCGGACTGGGACTTGCGGAACTCTTCTGCAGCCCTTGTGCGTTGAGATTGCGTCAGTTTAGAGTGGATGCGCCAGCCAAAGATACGCCCGTATTGAGATCTCAGGCTCTTCAAGTCGCGGTCGACGTCGCCTGCAAGGTCGACGAAGCCGGTAGTGGGGAGGAAAACCAGGGCCTTGAACGGCAGAAGATCCCTGTTGTTGGCGCGCTTCTCGACCTCGGTCTGAATGATCTCGTACAGAGCAGGAAGAACGTTGCCCCAGCCTCTACAGTTGACGATGTGCTGCTTAACCTTCTCGTGGGTGAGCACGTCGTCGGAGGAAACGGTCTGGATGAAGTCGAAGTTGTCGGGGCGCACCCACTCGCGGGCCAGGGAGATGACGTTCTGGGGGATGGTGGCAGAGAAAAGCAGTGTCTGGCGCTGCGACTTTTGAGCATCAGGCAGACGGGACACAATCTCGTTCAGCTCCCGCTCGAAACCAACGTCAAGCATACGGTCGGCCTCGTCGAGGACGATAGCTGCAAGGTTCGGGGCCTTAATGCCGCTGCTAGGGTCGGACAGAAGGTCGTTCAGTCTGCCGGGCGTTCCGACCAGCAAGTGGCAACCCTGTCTCCGGGTCTTCTCCAACATCTCTCTCTTTCTGGTTCCACCGACAGCGCGCTGAACAACCAAACCCGTGCCGGAACACAGCTTCTCAGCCTCGACGGCGATCTGCTCGGCAAGCTCACGGGTAGGCGAGATGACGATTCCACGGATGTCGGCGGCGTTGGCAGCAAAGCGTGCCCTACGAGTGGCAAGCGAAGGATCGGCAGCAATCATCCTCTGCAGAACGGGGACGAGGAACGCAAGCGTTTTTCCGGTACCTGTCTTGGCCTGGGCGACCCTAGAGAGTGTTAGTAACGAGAGGTTTCCAAAAGGGGGCAATAAGCAACTCACATATCCATTCCCTTCAACGCCGGCTCAATTGTTTTGGATTGAACATCGGTCATGGTGTCGTACTTCAAGCCCTTGGTAATGCTGTCGACCAGGTTGTTGTGGACACCGAGAGTGCGAAGGTCTTCAAACCGCGACAGCGCGCCGGAATCTTGCTTAGGCTCTTCAGCAGTCTGCTCGGAAGCAACAGCTGCGGCCTCAGTGGAGTATAATCTGAATGCATTGATGCTAACAGGCGTGCGCAGCGCAGTCTGAGAGGGTTGCGCGATGGACTTGAGAACGACAGGTCGCGTGGTGCGGAGGGTTGAGGTCGCGAAGCTTGCGCTGCTCAAGCGAGCGCATCTTCTGAGGGACTGACGAAACATTTAGACGTATTAAAACAGTACTAACTGATGAAAGACGAGTAAAATACACTTTGGTTAAGAAAGGAGTGAGGGAAGGTGTAAAGAGAACGGGATCGTCGTTTTTTTTTCCACCGTCGAACCGCAGGAGCTTGAAGGTGAACAAAACAGGAGACAGTTTTGATAACGATTTTTTTTCCTCGCCTTATCAGACAGCATTGGACTTTTCGCCAGTTTTCGGTGGGTCGAGTTCCCGTGGCAAGGGACCAGTTTTGCAGCCAGTGATTGGCGGGCTACAGATGGCTCCACCATATCATCCCTGCCAGCAACGTTTTAGCGTTCATCAAACGAGGTGGCCAAACAAAGGAGCAATCGACCGGACGAGATTTTCCCCATTCCGAAGCCAACTGCAGCTGTCAGTTTGGATGTTTTCTAGAAATTGGTTGATACTGACCCGTCCGTCAATGTTGTAAACCGAGAGAGAATTCTTGAGTGGGAAATTCCTCGAGGCCGTCATTCCAATTTACACAGCTTCAAAAGTAACTACCAAGATGCTAGCAAACCTTAATGCCATTGATGTGCAACTCAAATCCAATAAAACTCAACAATTCGTCAACTCAGTTAACTATCCAAGGTTCTTTCCATTTTAATATTGAGCTGTTGGATTCTATGTAAGCTCCCCTCTATCCATGTTACCCGCAACCTGCCTTGATGCCTGATCAAGAATCCTGATCCAAAGCTTAATGCAGATATCTATCATATACCATATCCAAGGGCATATCCTAATTGAGATAAAACAGGAAAGCCTGTTAGACTGATTCGCCCCAGCGAGTCAACGCTGGCAACTCTCTTTGACGAAGCTCAACTTGTCCGGCCGATTGTCTGACTTTTAAAAGGGTGAAACGTCGTCCCGGATCATACCTAAGCGACCTAACTCGCGACCTGACGCAAGACAGAAGAATATACTCCGAAATTCTAAAGTTCAAAAAATCATGAGAAATGCACGTTTCTAAGTAATGTTGGATATTTCTCATGTCGTTCTCGTTATCGTTGAATTCATTGTCGCTTCGCGCCCACAATGGTAAGGCCCTCGCCAACGCCATCGGATAGACCACCTGTGAAGCCCTCAACAGTCCAAGCGATGGCTTCTGTGAGTGCCTGGCCAACTCTACCATCGCCCACGTTGCATAAAGCTCCAGTTATTCTCATGCCTTTACTGCCGACGGCATTCGCAAAACTCATACCGGCGCCCACAAGATTCTCAGATATCCTATACTCTCTCTCTGTGCGAGCCGCTAACCTCAGAAAGAGGATGATATATGGCAGTGCTAGGTGAAGGAGGATGAAAATATTGACGACGGCGGTCTGAACACCTCGGTGAAGGATCGATCTTCCGCCATTCGCTCCGCGAGACGGCGAGTATGCCCGGCCGCCAGGACTGGACGGGGGAATGAAGTTGGATGGCGTTGATGTGCGAAGACGGTGTAGCTCATGCTCGTTCAGATCAGCGGGTAGTGCCTTGAGAATGTATTCGACACCATCGAGGAAAGCTTTCCGCTCAAAGTCGACTGCTGGGCGCTTTGAGGGACGGCGCAATTCGTCCTGAGCCACGGCAATCAATGCCAGACCTGTACCGCCAGAACGTTAGCAGGGGAAAAAAGCCCGCCGTAGAGTAAGAAAGATACACACCTTGCTGGGCAAATCGCCAATCCACATTTGAGCACTGGCTAGCAGCCTGCTGTTGCTCGTACTGCTCGGCTTGCTGCCGTTGCTGCTCGTGCTTGTCGGCCGCGGATCGGACCTCAAACGTCCGCGACTGGTGATGTTCGGTGGCTACTAGCATGTGCTCCTCCGTGCTCTCCGAGATAATCCGGGCTTGAGTGATGTTGGGATGTACGCCGTCGAGGCCGGAGAGAGATCGGGTGTGAGACTGCCTGGTTGAGGTTAGGGTTTGCATACTCGCGCTCTTGCGGATGGACCGCAGCGGCGGCAGCCGTGACTGAAGGGATGTGGGCAGCATTGAGAAGACAGTCGAGGACATCCTAGTCTGAGGTAGAGTAATCTCTTCAAAAATGGGTCCCCAAGGCCGCAAAGGGGGCATTATGTGTCTTTCAGGTTTCGTCCAACTGCTGGCGGGTTTGATACCACGGGCCAAAACAAATCGGCGCCAAGAACTCGATGAAATGTGCCTTTATCTGTCGCTGGGGTTAAGTTGTTGGCCTGTGATCGAGGACAAGTTCGGCAAGATCAAGAGAGTCTGGTGCGATCAGGAATGTTGCCGACCAACAGCAGATGTTCTAGCCGAGCACACCTTTTCCTGGCAATTGAGGAATTTAGGCGAGAGAATTCTTGGTGTATGTAGGTTTTTTTGGGTTTTTTTTTTCCCTCTTTAACTTATTCGATCCAGCGTCTTCAGTAAGTTTGCTCAGACAGCTGTTTATCTGAGGATAAGGTGAGAGGATTCTGGCTTCAAGGTATGCGAGGCAATGGTAAGTGAGAAGTTCACGAAACAAATAGATAAGAAAAGTGGTGGATTGACAGATTCAAAAGTTGGTAGGATAAGTCTCTGAGTAAAGTAAAAGTGGGTTGAAGAATGTAACGTAAGACAAAGAAAATAGGCAAGACCGAAAAGAGGAACCAAAAGGCGGCGAAGATGGACAAGACGAGACTGCAGAGATGGGGAAAGGATACCTTTGAGTCTGGCCTGGCTGACCCTGGCCGTTTTTGGATCTTTTCTTCCCTGTTGGTGGGCGAATAACATCGGCGGTGGCCGGGGATGGGGATGATACGAGGAAAGCGTCCCGTCCGAAAAGTTACCTCAGTAGAACTAAAGTGACATGAGTGACTTTGAGGACCTTGTCCTTCTCCCTCAGTGTTTTGCTGCCACAAACAAAAAGCATAAGTGCAGTCAGTGTAAGAGCCTGGGGGAGCTCGAACCGCACGCCCCCCTTCGGCCGCGCGCTCGAGTACCTCTGAATGCGCCTCAAGGTAGTAGCGTGCTTCTAGCATGTGAAAGAGAAAAATGTTGGGTCAAGCGGGGCTTATCGTCTATCTGATCCACTCATGCCACCCGTGGTGGATACGTACTTGGAACGGTACAAGGCACGGATAGTAGACTTACATACTTGATGTAGGTACTCGTAAACCCTTCCTCGTCGCATTCAGCGACATTCATCATGGCGCCATGCAATGCATGAAAGTGTTCTATTTCAACGAGCAAGCGTAAAATGGGGACGCTAAACCTTACATGGATCTCGCGGTTGCAGTCGTAGTCGTGGTCGCAGCTGCTATTCGTCAATACTTACAGTTGGCTGTCCAACAGGTACACAGTTGTTGAACTGAGCGGTTGGATCAGCAGTCCAAAAGACTGTTTGAAGTTGCACAGCGGCACCATACAGAAAAAACACAACCAGTGGGATCCAGCCGCTGGCCCACGCTGTCGCATATTAGAACTATCCCGATGCGCCCCTCCACTTGTTCCTATGCCCTACTCTATTCTACTCTAGGATCAGTTAGAATGCCCTGTGACTTTGCTGGGCCCCCGCCAGCAACAAGACGAACCATTGCGGGTATCGTCTATTTCGCAAAGCCGTGGATGGGTGGGTGGCTTGGCCATTCTCTCCCCACTGGACGCCGCTTCTCTTCTAGTTCTGTTCTTTTTATCTCCAAGAGGGAATCCTCGGATCAGTTGTTTGACATCCGCTGCAGGGTCTTTTCGTCGTGATTATTCGGGACGATAATGGTCTCCTCCCTCAGGATCCTCTTCATGGAGGGTTACGAGTGGTCGTACGCCATAAATGGGGTGTGCACTGGCCTACCGGATGGATATAGAGGAACCGCAAAACAAAACATTTTCTCTCTCAGTACGTACCTTGGTGGTGGGATCTGACATCGACGCCAAGGTCATTTAGCCGCCGCATCGGGATTTCGTGGCCCAGCCAGCAAGGCTCAGCAAGAATATGTGTGTGCGTATGAGTGTTTCTTTGACTGAATGCTGCAATGCATACCACGTTAGTATCTACTGTCTCTCTTCCAAGATTTTCCCTTTGTGACACCCGGATCCGAAGTCCGGGCCCCCACGTACCCCAAAAATATTCATGAAGGGCGGTGTAACTAACTAGACTCGACACCAAACGAAGGGGAATCCCACGTGTGTGATCCCAAGCCTGAGGACGACGAGACCACTGAACCGAGTCAAGCCCCACCGCCCACTGTCCTTCCGAAGTACCCCGTACCGGCGTCCCATTTCCGCACCTCTGGCAGGTGGAAACGACACTGGGTCTTGGGTCTGGTTCACAGGTGCTCATGTGTCCCGCTGGAGGCCACCGAATCCTTGGTTGCGGGAAGGCACATGCATAATACACGACGAGCACGAAAATGACGCTAGCAGAGATAAGGCGCCAGCAACTCTCCCCTCTCCCAACTTTCTTGTAAGAAAATTGTCGCCAAACGCCTCGTCTGTCAGTCCTGGGAAAGACATGGTTGTATAGATAAGAGAATGCGCATGTGCAGACTGAAATTTGGGGCGGACGATGCACATGTAAGACAATGCAAGACTGACTGTTGGTGGGGGGCTGTTGTCGGGTTGGTGAGACACTTCTGCCAGGCACATGAATTGATTGATTGACTCAACCAAGAAGAGAGAACCTCAGATACACAAATCCTCAGCTGGGTTGAACATGTGGGTGAGGGTGACACAATTTGATATGTGAAACAGCAAGCCTTGATAAACATTTGACACTGAGTGAAACATGTAAGTTGCGAGATTAATAAGGGTGTTTTCAACGTCATTTCACACCCGTCTTCGGAAATTCATTGAGCGGTTACTGAAACAATTTCCAACGCAGCCATTCAATGATTCGATAGGGATGTACAATGATTATGGCGTAAAAACGAATTTGGGGAATTATTTTGACCCAGACTTGCTTTCGAGCATTGTAGATGCCATCTCCATATTGCAATTGTTGCTCATAGGGCACATTTCTATGGGTGTGAGCACATGTTTATGTCGGTTGGTTTTGATCACTCAGCCATCCCTGCCTTGGAGCGATCCCCGCCGAAATTCTGAAGGCTGGTAAACATGTGAGATTCTCGCTTCCAAGATATATAGGTAGCATCACCCGGAAAACGCATGCATTCGTCTCCTGCTGGAAGCGGCAGGCTTGTGTTCATTGCTATTTTCCCAGAAACTGCACGTTAACGCTGAAGGTATACTTTGTTGCTGTTTGTGATTGTATGAGTTTGTGAATATGTGTACAGAATCCCCAAATGCAGAATCCGCTCGGCCCGCTGCCCACCCAGTTACCCTCTCCAATAAGAGATACGCCTCCTGGTTTTTCCTACCCCATCATACAAAACACCATTCAGCTCGTTGCCTTCTCCGCCGCAATCTTGGCCTCCATCTTGCGCCGTGCCGCGAGAATCATTTCATCCCTCCGTTTCTGCAGCAGCGCCTGCCTTTCGTCCCGATTTGAACTCCAGCCCTTACTGCTCTTTTCCTTCTCCGCCTCAGCCGCCGCGGCCGCCGCCTGCTGTTTCGCAATCTTGTCTTGGAGCTTGTACCTCGTAATCAAATCCGGTTGCGAAGGCTTCTCAGCAGCCTTTGACGCTGCCGCCGTTGCGGCGCTGGCTGTTGCTGGATTGGTACCTGGCGGGGGAGGGGGTTGGAAGGTAATAGGGGGCTATAATTGATGTTCCGATTAGCATGTTACTCCTTACTTTGAAATGTACATATGTCTCCTAGCATTCAGCACTCAAGAGCCGCAATAGTCAGGTGTTGCTATCGTGGAACAACATAGCCCTAGCAGTTCATGTTGTATGAGACCAACGGAACTCACCGTCTCCATCCGGCCAGCCAGAATCCTCTCAGACGTAGCCTGAATGTTGCCTCCGTTTCTCTGTAAGTCCCAAAGAATGGTTCGCCTGTCCACCTGCGGAAACATTTGCTGTATTCTTTCGACCGCCGCCTCACGAGTTCGCAGTATTGATTGCGCGTTTTGTCGTGACGCTGACGCAGACGGCGGTGGCGATGGCGAGAAGAAGAGAAACCGAATGACGAATGCTGTGAGAAGAAGTATCACCACCAGATACGGCAGCGAGATCTGTTCGTTTGCCATTATTGCGGGGGGTGTATGTCGTTTGTCGGACTGGCCGGGCCGGAGTGCTTCAATCGTGTGGTCGGAGGTGCGTACGGCGGTGGTTTCCTCTGCTCGTGCTCCTCGGTCGGAAAGTTAAATCCCTGCGCGCCTCATAGGACTTTTGTTAAAATGAAATCAGAGGCGGGGAGCGAGTCGCCGCTGGGCGTGATAGGGATGCGGTCGGGACGGGTACGTTGTCAGTAAGGTAGTGTTAGGTAAGATAGCTAGCAGCTTTTATGGAGATGAGTTCACCAGCCTTGCCCACAGAGCAGGGGTTAGGAGCTTATGTGGCGCGAGGCCGGAGGTTTCCGCACATGGAAGGAGCGCACGGGGCAGGTTCAGCATCACACCCCATGGAATTGCTGTAGGATAAGACTATGAGGACAACATCTATAATTGCAATTCGGAACAGGATAGCAGAGACGGCAAAGAAGAGAATAGTTGCAGAATCGGCAGCGTCATTTATTTTCCTTCGTTGACGGCCGAGGTAATTCCCATTGATCAGTGATTCATACACACAAAGCATGACGGCCTTTGCCATCCGCCCCAGCTTCAATCCGGAAGCCTATAAAACGATGCCGTGTCCACATGACTCAACGCCTGTTCGGTTTACTGCCCAGGTATCAAGTCGTTCCGAGCCTCGTCAAGTCAACGAAAAAGCCAATGAACCATATTCCCCCAAGCTTATGCTGCCGGTTGTACCAGGTTCGTCTCCAGATCACCGTAGTGAAGGGTGAGCTCTCTCTAAGCATGCTGTCAGTACCTATTTTGCAATGGCACGAGAGGTAAAATCAAGACTTACCCGCTCCTTACGCCAGTTGGTCGTGTCCCAGATAATGTAGTAGCCGCGCTCGTGATGAGGACCAAGGCTGGCAGGCATCATAAGCTCATCCTTAGTCAGCCAGAAATGCAGCTTCTTGTGCCACCGCCAGTTGCGAGAGTGCCTGTTGACTGTTAACGACATTCAAAGCTCGGTTGGTTAGATTACATACAGTTCGACCGCAGCGAGGTGTTGTTTAATGTCTTGGGGACAGCTGTAGAAGATCCAGAAAAGGGTCTCCTCGTTGAAAGACGGGATTTTCGTCTCAATGGGCTGGACGTTTGTGACTTTGTAGCACTCGGGGAGACGAACATTCGGAATCGCGGGACGAGGCGGTGTGTCATCGAAGAGAGAGTAGATCTGGGTCGAGATGAGACTTCGACCGTTAGCAGGAGCTTGAGATAGTGGTACTCGGGGCGTAACTCACTCTGACGAGTTAACGTTCAGACCGAACTCGTTCGGATCCATTCCCTGCATCAGTGCCCCATAACTGGGATAGTTATTCATCAACATACGCAGACCCTTCATACCGAACTTGTCGATAGGTGCCAAACCGGCCAAGGGATCTTGCACTTCAAGAGATTGGGGCTCCGTTTCATCCTTGCTCTTGCCAGTTAGTGAGTCGTTGCCAATGGCACCCAGAGGATTCCGGTTCTCGGGGTTCTGGTATGAGCTGTCACCAGCAGCCTCTTCCCGGAAGGTGCCACTCTTCTGTCTGCTTTCATCGTCGGCAGATGCGTCTTGCGTTCTCGATTGGCCTAAATCATCATTAGCTCACCCTGCCTGCAAATGATTGAAAAGGCAGTTGCTCGCACCCGAGATGCTAGCGACAGATGGTGAGCGGCCATCTGATGTTCTGCTGTTCGCGGATAGCGCATTGAGCAGGCCATTACCTGCACCGCGGTTAGGTATCGCCGTGGCCACGCCGCTCGCCTGGTTACCGAATCCCAATGAGGGCACAATGTTACCACCGCGCTCGCCGCCGATTTCGCCGTTTGCATTCCGGTTCAGCGGTGGAAAGTCGTCCACCGGATTAGATGGCGCCTGAGATGCCGCTCCAGCATTGTTCTGGCTACCAAAACGAAAGCCAGCTTGACGAGCTGAGGTGGGGGTGAATAACTCATCCTGCACGTTCTGGGCGGATAACGGTGTTGGCTGGTTACGTGGCACTGGACCGCTGCCCAGATTCCGAGATGCTGTTGAAGACCACATGTTCGCCTGGCCGCTGCTGTTCATCTGGGCGTTGTTGGAGAGCGAGGGAAATTCGCTACTTCAAAAGTCAGTATCGAACACAGCTGATGCTTAGTTTTATGTGCCGGCGGAAAGAGGGAAAGGTCAACAAAAAAGGTGAAGTTTGTGATAGAAGATAGCGAGGTCCGAGGAAAACAATTACGTCTTGAGGACTTCAGCATAACCCTTTTTGGGCGGCTTTTCAGGTGAGCCATGTTGCATGGCTTGCATCTTCTCCTTCGCGGCCTTTCTTCGTTGAAGAAGAACGCGCTTGCGTTTACCCATGGTACAGGCGACAGAAGGACGAAGATGGGACAATGAGAGAAGGAGTGCAGTGATATAACGAAGAAGTTGTGTTGCTTAACGATTGGTCTTGCCGTTGCCCTAGACAATCAAGAGCTATGGGTAAAAGAACGGGTGGAAGTAAGGGCAAAATTGAGGAAAGGAAGGTGCGCGCCAGAAGGGAAGGAACATACGAAAGGTCAAGCGGTGTTGCTGGTTGCGACCCGCTTAAGCTCTGCGCAAAACTGACGTTGCCTCCAAGTTGACGAGCTTGATTTTGAAGACCAGCACTTCCCATGGGTACTCCTCCACCAAATGCCCAGCCGCTTCCATTACTGCCTATGTATTCCCAAGCAATCCGTGTTAACGTCGCTCTTTTTTCACCCATACGTTCTAGCATGTGCGCCCGAACAAGGCCGTATTCCTACCTATTTTACCATTCGGTAACCGGTTTGAAACTGTCCTTCCTTGCTGCTGTTGTTGTTGTTGTTGCTGCTGCTGCTGGCCAGCAAAGCCTGTCGGTATGCCGCGCAGTGATTGAGGAACTGCTCCTACTTTATGGCGCTCATTGTCAGCTTTGAGAACATTGATGAAGCGCAGCTTTGAGTGATAAATAAATTCAAAGGCCTTTGTTTCCGCAACATATACTGCAGTAGATTTCCATTTATCTGTCCATCCACCGTAATTTTACGAGTTTTTGGCTCGGCGCAGAGCCTTAGCTTCAGGCTGGTTGGTGATGGCGGGGTCTAGTGGAAAAGGTTGATGGTGGCATGATGAGTCGCGTGCATCCTCGCTACCTCCCGCGCCGAATCGTCGACAATATATAGCCAGGTTTATATCGTGATTGGAAGTCGTGATAGGATGCTGATGGTCTTGATGGACATGCAAACGGCGGGGTACCCCAAAGTTGAAAGAAGACGGACGAGGATCTGGCCTACCTGGTCGATTCATGATCAAGTCTCTTCGAGTGTTGGTTAGCGATTAACAGTCGCGTGGTTTTGTTCGTCGTCGCGGGCGGCTCGGAGCTCAATTCGGATCTGTAATGTGTTGGATGCGCTCGAAAGATTATTCTGTCAACGAAGCTACCAACGAATGAAGCTCTACGGGGATTGATGGTGTACAGCGTAAAGAGGTCGAGTGGCCCAGCCGACGCTAACGCACGGAGGACCGGTCAAAGATGGATCCGATGGCCTGTGCACCCTGAGCCCCTCCAAAACCCCTGCAGCCAGGACAACCAGACGCAATGCCTCTAGAGCCTTTTTTGACATCGCTTCTTTCGACTTACATGGGATGACTGAAGGGTTTAGAGCCTGTTACACTTGTCGCCTTGAGGCTACAAAACTCTTTATGTAATCCATGTCTATTAGTTCTAACCCTGCCACCAGAGTTTTGGCGAGATCTCCAGCCAGGTTCTGACCCAGTAGTTTGCTGATACCCGTCCCCCATCGTGGACAGTAAGGCAAGCACTTCATTCTAAGTTCTGTAGTTATCAAGCCTCCAGCCAGCCTTCTAATTGCTCAATTGTTCTCATATTATCTAGTTGCAGTTTGCCATTGGAGCTACATATGCTGCCAAGTTCAGCATGGGCGATGGCAGGCCAAACCTCGCTAACTGCCTTGGAAACCTCTGTCACTAAGAGGCAGACTAATTATATAATCTTTATCGCCGATTTCACTTGTAATTTAAGTAGTATGAACATGCATCGGGCTTGAAATGTCCTTACGATCTGCTCGCCCAAACTCGACAAGCGCAGCGTTACGGTTAAGTTCTTTATAAGAAGTACCGAGTAGAACAATTGCATTGCTTACTTGCAGAGCTTCTCGGTGATCCCGCGCTTTATTAAAACAAAAGGAACCAATGTAAGTACAGCGCATATTGGCCTTTTAATATGTCTCCCCAAGCCATGATCTTCCCCTTTTACTGGCTGAGGAGAATCCCCTATAACGACCATTTATGCAGGCGCAAAATTATTCGTTGTTAGAGTTCATTTGGGCTAGAGGGAAACAAGATGTCGGTCAGATCTTTGGCGATAAACAGGAGTTCCATTAAAGCCATGTGAAATGGGAAGAAGGGTATGGGCCTTGTCCGTAGACAATTATTAGAATGAACTCGGTCTCACTGGAATGATAGATTCGAACGAGCTCGATAACTTGTCTATTCAACCTGGCATTGCATGTAGTTATCACCTGCAACTGAAGTGTAATCTGAGTGCTATGTTCGAAAAACATTATGAGCCGAAAGGGTGATCGACGTCATCTATTTGCGGTGACTTGATAATACGATCTCAAAATATCTTACATCCTCAGGTGAATCGCTGGACCAGAAGAAACAACAACTCTCAGTTTAAGAAAATAATGACTTCGACTAAAAGTAAAACAGTGATGCCTCGTCGCACTATGTTCCTTTCATTGCAATACTAAAGCTCAGGGTCAATGTTTGTGTTGCCGAAAATACGCAGAAATGAACGTCATTAAGGTTCTGTTCTGTCATGCTCTTCGAGGACCTACAGAGGTAAGAATTTGCGAGTTAACTGAGTATAAATTGAACCAGTTTGGATGGCTTGGATGCCAACATATTTTAATTGCATTCGAAACGGTTCCCCTCGCTCTAGCATTACCGGAAATCGGAGCCTTGCCAGAGCTGCTGTTTGAAAGCTAATAGAACGAGCGTAGGGTGATACTAATCATATAAGCGACAGGAGCCGCTCCCCGATATGTCGGCTCTCTTATAAAAGCCCCTTGAGGGAATAGGTGCAAGGACTTCAGATTTCAGATAGGTCACGGTGCTCTGTCATGTTGCATGGCACTTCAATGATGCACCGCTGATGGCTAATAGGTTCTGGTACAATCTTTGTGATGCAAATAAATGAAAGACAGGTTAATCAACATGTTCGTGATCGCTCTTCGAGTCATTGTTTTGCTATGCATACTGATTGTTTATTCATGCACCTGATTTAAGAGTATCCAAGAGGCTTGTCTCGAAATTGACGTCCTTCAGATATCTTCCAATAAGAATAATTTTGCCTTGATCGACCTCTTGGCGAGATTGATCGGGCGAGTCAAGGATCTCAAAAATTTCCCTCACTCCCTGAATAAGCTTGATGTCACCGTCCTCAAAGATGAGCCGACCCTTGCAACGGTGTACTTCCAACACTGTCTTATCATCGCCAGGTAGCCGGCGATCCCAGAGGACTTTTCTCAGCCATTTGTCGACATTTGATATCTGGTGAGGGGCCAGCTTAGGTACTGGTATCGCGACAGTTGAAATAGTCTAGGTCCAAGTCAATGAGTTGCGTTCATAATATGTTTTGGTTGCGGCTTACAGAATCAAGATGACTGTGGCCCTTCTGGCTCGTATCAAGCTCGGTAACCTGATCATACGCATGTAAGTCCAACAAAAAGCCCTCTAGACTGGGTACCTCGCTTTTCTGCGTGATGTGAATCTTTGCGAGTCCGTTAATAGACTCTATTCTATCTCTGACCTGCTCCAGTTCTGCTTCGGAGACCAGATCAGCCTTGTTGATAACAATCACGTCAGCGTGCGAAATCTGAACGTGGGCAGTCGTCATGAGCGGGCCGTGGCCATGGTCATCCTCCTGGTCCTCGAGCTCAATCTTGCCAGAGGGGTCATCCAGGCTGCGGAGAATGTTCTTCGCATCGACGAGGGTCACAATGCCGTCGAGGTAGATGGTGCTTCCCAGGCCGTCGTCGACCCAGAATAGAGGCACTAGATTGCCAGGATCTGCAAGTCCAGTGGTTTCGAGGAGGATATAGTCAAATGCGCCCTTCTTTTCCATCAGCGACTCAATGGCATTGACACCGGTATCCCTACACATATTAGCATCTCAGGATTTCTGAATAGTCGGGCTAGCCTACTTGACAGAACAGCATATGCAACCGTTGCCAACCTCGAGCCACTCTTCAACCTGCTCATCGCCCTTATTAACAGTGAGGGACTTTTCAATATCGAGCGCTAAAAGATGTCAATGAATACAATCCTCTTTGTTCGAGTTTGATCACTAACAGTCTCCAAACTCTGCAAAGGTCAGCATATCGTCCTAGTCATGACAGGTCATCAAGGCTGACCGTTCATAATCACAGCAATCTTCTTTCCATGCTGTGCCGTTAAGATGTAGTTGAGCAGCGTAGTTTTCCCGGCACCTAAATAGCCGGTAACAATGGTGATAGGAACCTTTATCTGCTTCTCGGATGCTAGCAATTCATCATCCAAGACGGTTCCTGCCTCAACCAGATCGGGCGGGGCATCATCGTCGAAATCCATGATGCAGGATGGAGGGGAACCCTGTGACTGTGCTCGGACCAGCAGTCTCTTGACGATTTTAGTTGCAGTGATTGATAGGAATATTGTGCAGAAGAACCCACAAAAATACCTGAAAAGTAACGGTAAACAGACAACTTCTTTGCCCACAGTTGTTGAACGGGCGTGTTTAAGGTACAACAAGTTCAAGGCTACTGAGAGCAAGGTATTGCTGCAGCTTGAAAAACCCAGGCGAGGTACGTACCACACCGGCCCTCTTTCAGCAGTATGGGTTTGACGTCGGCAGTCTAATACTGGCCCTGGCTGGAGGGGAGCCCTGACTAAGCCAACTAGGGGCTCACCTATTGTTAGAGAGCCAGGAGCTTTGGCCCCCAATTACTTTCTATGTGCCCGCGGGTGTGTGTGTGTGTGTGTGTGTGTGGCTGGCTGTATGTGTGATTTGGAGAGCTCCAACCGCCCGCCTAATGTCAAGTTTTCGCCCGACACCACCACTGATCAAAACAACGCTTGCATCATCGTACATCGCCGCTTGATCGCGAAACATCTAGCGGTTCTTCCACCAAGCTTCTTTTTCTTTGTCTGCGTTAAACGCTCTCGCTCGGTCCCAAAATGTCAATGGCGCCGAGCTCGCCCCGGCTGCCCAGCCCACCGCCGCCCGTAGAGATCCAGATCGGCCCTAAATCCCCCTCGATGGGCGCGCAGTCAAATCGCCAGGCTTCACCCATGGAGCAGTCACTGATAGACGCCAACTCCAGGCGTCGTATACATCCAGGCACCAAGGCCGCCGACATGGCAGCCGGACCGCCGCTAGTCCCCCTTAACGAGGTTCGTGGCTGTGATAAGACCAGACCACATCTGATGGTGTGCGCAAGCTGTCCTGATGTTGACATTTCCCTTATGATGTAGCTCGACTCGGCCTTTCAGCTCCAAGAACACCTCGCCGCCCTACACTATTACCATACAAACAGCAACAGCTCCCCGATAACCCGTACGACAGCGATCCAGCTTGCGACGCCACCTCCGGGGATCGACCGTACCCTCTGGCTTTACGAGCTGTGCCGCTTCCTCATCTCGCAGTGCAATACTCTCATTGTCGGCTTTCTCTTCGATTCTCCGCCCTGCAGTGCCGTCACCTGCCCCGAGATGCGCGCCTCCGAGTGGCAGTTTCTTTGCGCTGTTCATGAGCAGCCCAAGAGCTGCTGCGCCATCGATTATTGCTGTCACACTCTTGACTGGGCCGCCAACATCGTTACCGACCCTAAAATCTTTCCCTCTCGCTTTGTTGTCCTCTCCGACGTTCACAACAAGGGTGTAGCTGTTAAGAACCTCGTCAATGTCTTCCGCCGTCTGCACCGGATTTTCGCTCATGCCTGGTTCCAGCACCGCGCTGTCTTCTGGACCATTGAGGGCCAGACGGGTCTGTACGTCTTCTTCAAGACTGTTTGCGATATGTACGACCTCCTTCCTGCCGAGAACTACAAGCTGCCACCTGAAGCCGAGGGTCTGGAGACAGCTACGGCCGTGCCTGATAGCAATGGAGCCGACAAGAAGCAACTGCCTATGTCCATTGTCAAGCCCCCTCACCGTAGCGAGGGCGCTGCTCAAGGAGAGGATGACAACTACCAGCCTGTGGGTCGGACCGCAACGAGGCGCCACGTCAGAGCCAGCCCGTCCGTTGGGAGTGCGGTAACAACCGTGGTGGAGGCTGATGAAGAGGACAACGTTGTGATGAACAAAATGCGTGACATGCATATTTCCGCGCCAGAGACAGTCGAGGAGGAGCCTGAAGTTGCGGAAGTGCCCGTCATTGTGGAGAAGGAGATCATGGAAGATGTTCCGTCACCTGAGGAACAGCCAAAGGAGGAGGCAACAACGGTACAAGAGGTCAAGGTCGAGACCGAGCCTGAACCGACTGGTCAGCCCTCTGATAACGAAGGTAAACCTGCTGCGCCGACGGAGGAGGAGCCTGGCAAGTCGCTGGCGGAAGACAAAACGAGAGACCAGGCCGATGAGTCTTCTACATTAACCGAGCTTGAGAAAACGGAATCCGCGGCGCAGGAAGCTCAAGAAGAAGCCAGCAAAGACAGCAGCGCAGCCGATGTCAAGGAAGAGGCGTCTTCGACTGAGAAGGAATCAGCAGACAAAGACGTCAGCACACAGGACTTCGCCAAAGAGTTGACCAAGCCAGCCGAATCGGTCACAGACGTCGCAGACGACAGTGGCAAGAAAGAACAAGGCCAGAAAGACGAGTCCGAATCAAACGTTGAGTCTAAGGATGAGAAGAAGGAATCCTGATGATAACTTCGTTTCTTCTTCACTTTTTCTCCTGAAAATTTGGGCCCGGATTTTGTGGCCTAGGAAAAGGCAATATCGCACGACCACTTCATATTTCTTCTCGGTTGAGCTACGGAGCAATCACTCTATAAGCGCTGCGGCTCTCTTGTTATGAATGAGGATGATATATGTATAGTACTTTTTAATATTGTGATGTTTTGTTCATCACAGTGTATCAATATATCCAGACCATGTCTATGTCTAATGGGGCTTTAGAGAGAACTTGGGAGGGTGAAGAATGTTCAAGGAAGGGGGAGCCAGAGAAAATGCTATGATACAATGGACCTCCCCGATTGAGGAATGAAAATGACGCCAAAATGCGTGGCCCGCCGCGCAAAGACATGGCCTAGATGATGCAGAGAAGACAAGAAGTTACAGTGACAGAACTTCTGAGCTGGTTGTGGTGCGAAACTAAAATCGATCCTCCGCTGTAAATTGGTCCAAGTGACTTTTCGCCGACGTTTGCCTCCCCCATTCATTAGCGTCCTATTTGGAGCTGCTATGCCTCATGTTTCCCAGGTGCGCTTGACGCCAGATGAAAACCTGCAAGCCAAACCCAACTTTGTCAATTTGCTCTTGGCAACCTTTTGTGTCCCTTTTTTATTTTTCTAGTGAGTGTGTCTACTTGCAACGGTTGCACAAGGAGCTTACTAACGCTTCAATCAGGCGGTTGTAGTATGGCTACCTTGAGCTGACGCTTCGTCGAACATTTGCATCTTTGCAAATATGTGACGTACTTCCCGAAGATTTTCCATTTGTGAGGATATCGCATTTGCGTTGCGCTCATCTGCAAACGTACGGACGCTCTGTAATACGCGACTGAAACCTTTGTCGGCAGGTAACCACCACCGCACGCAAGAAGGCTCATGAAAGAGCTCAGCCATCTTGGATCGAAGTGTAATGGGATGGATGTATCTGCAGTTGAAAATCAGCTTCCTATGCTCAACTTTGGGGGATAAAACAAAGAAATGGAGAGACAAGGGAAAGGGGCATGTCAGGGGTAAAAGTTCGAGGATTTCAACTTACCCCATGGTCTCCAGCAAGGCAAACTTGCGTCTGATCCACATATGATGTTTGGGATCTTGTGGCAAGAACAATGCGGAAAGCGCAATACATGCCTGAATTAGAATGAGGCTACCTTTCGGTCTCGAAGGCCAATTTTCAACAGCCTCAAAGATCTGACAAATGGCATATGCATGGGTTTTTAGCTCTGCGTAGAGTTCGGCCCTTTTACTCGTAGGTGACTGGCATTTATGCATCATTGTAGTCGAGTTCCACTCGCTGGTAAGCATCGTCGTGGAGAACACCGGAAAATCATACAGAACCCCTGGGACGAAGGGATCGACAATGTCATCCTCGTTCAGGGGTCGGGCATGACTGAAGTCAGTAACAAGATGCACAGGGTCGGTAAGCGCGCGGTCCCATCCATCTTTCCAGTCGTGAAGCTCTTTTTGTATCCGTTCGTGCTCGATTGCAAAATCCTCCTGGGAAATCTGCCCTCTGCTTCCTCGTGCAAACAGCGTTGACATCTCCCTTGAAATGACCCTCAAACGGCCGGATTCTGCCTCCATTTTCCAGTGAAGGCTGTCCTCATCCACGGCAGCCTGCTTATCACAGTGTTCGACAAATGTCGTAAACCACTGCCTCGGCAACATCGTTGGAAAACCTCCCATAAGGGCAATGAAGATATCGAATCGTCCGTACCAAGATACAATCATCCGACCCAGTGGACTTTGCGAGGCGGTTTCATGTGTAAACAGGTGCGTCAACATCTCGAATGCGGCTTTTTGGTGGCCCATTAGATTAATCCAGTCGCCCAAGTATTCCTGTTTTCTGTTGTTAGTTGATGTTTGGCATGTAATAGGTGTTGAGCAATGCCTACCTCGATAGTAGCTAGTTGGAGAACGGTCAAAAGTGTGGCAATCCCATGCTTCTCCTTCCTCTTCAATGAATTTAACAACAAAATCACGCTCTTGTTGTAATACTTCAGGAAGTCCTCTATTTTTCCATCAGGATCTTGGAGTGTGCGCTGATAAGCGGCAAAGCCAACAACCGCATATAAAAGAGCTTCATTTTGCAAGGCGTAGTTGGGAAGCACAACGCGGAATATTTCGTGGGCGTCGGTGAGCATGCAATAGTGGTAGTGTGTAACATTTTCGCAAAAGTATTCGAGATGTTGTCGCAGGTCAGTGGGAAGATGCGACCAGTCAGTATGACTGCTGAGAGAGAGCAACCCTAGGTCTGGAACCGCATATGTCGTCGTCGCTTGGCTGCTTGACGTCCCAACCGACGCCGATGGTGAAGCACTCTTGGTTCCTTCATGTGGCGGTGTTTCGGAGCTTCCAGGAGTCCACCCTGCACGCTGGGGGTTGAAAGAAGACGCTGTGCTACTTCGACTCGGACCAGTAAAGTGTTTCTGGTAAGACTCATCATCGCCTTCATCCTCGTCGAGAATCGTGTCAAGGCCGGTAGGTTCCGTCTCCTCCTCTGCATCTTCTGGATCATTAGACGAATCCGGACTGGCCTGCTGCGTGGTCGTTGTGTCTTTCGGCGTGGTCGTCGTTTGGCCTGTGGAGACCTTAGTTGCTGGGGGTTCTGGATATATGCATTCACGGCTGCCCTTTCTACATCCTATAAGCCTGTTAGCTCATCCATGGTGCCTTTGCCGGGCTGGTTGAACACACTGTCGCAAATCGGGCGGGTTTCGTCGCACTGTAACGATGGTTAAAAACGACCAGCAACACACAGAGCTCGCGAACAAACCTTGACTCTTCTGCTCCTACACATGTAGCAGCCTGACCGTGTCCGCCGATGCTTAACATGATCCAAACCAGGGGCTGATTTCCTTCGGTTTCGAGAGGATTTAGGAGCGCTGAGTCCAACGGGATCAGGAAAGCCAGTGAAGTATCCGATATTGGTATAGGGCCCTGGCATCGCGCCGCCCATCATGGGCATATGACTGCCGGGGAACTGAGGAGGATGTGTGTCTTGTGGGCTCATGCTTTGGCTGGCTGTCACCCCCGACATGGAGGTGAGAAAGTGATGGTAGTAGTCCCCCATGGTTGCTGTTGAAGGTGATTGGTGTCGTTTCTCGGGTGGGAGACAAGGGGACGGGGAGGTAGTGTGGAGCGTGTGTCAGCGTTTCCCGCAAGGCTGGCATGCTATACTCGCACAAGAACGAATAACAAAACTGTCTCTCTTGAGGATCGCTGACAGCAACACGGGATGACGGTGTGGATTGCGCTGAAGCGCCTAGGCTATACCGGATTCTACCGAATAAGTCAAATGGCGGGTCTCTCGGATGTCGTCAGTAAATAGGGCGGCGGGCTGGAGAGGTCTGGGATCGTAAGAAGACGGTCCGTCTAACTAGAGGGGCGAACGAGATCGGATCGTAGATACCCTATGACAAACGATTGGTTCCTGAACCAGGGCATGGGCAAGGCTCCGTGGACGTAGTGGTCACGATTTGGCAGAAGCTTACGGTACGGGAGACGTCGTAGGAGGGCGACTGGTCGTTAGTTGGGCGTCTTATGAAAGGGTCTGTGTAGGCGTGGAGGACCGTAGGAGAAAGGTCGACAAGCCTTATTTGGGGGAACCAAAAGGTTTAGCTATGCCACCAGGATGAGGGTCTGGGCCGCCCAGAGCCACAACAGTTCCCTCAACGGCTTGTACAGTGGTTGGTGATGGCTGTGGTGGGGACTCCTGGGCGAGCAGAATGTGACTGGGTAAGTTGGAGAGGGCGGGTATCGCAAGCCTGCTCTTTGGTGATATGTTCGCTGAATTGGTATTTTGGCTGGGGCTCCTTGTAGGTGCTACGCTAAGAAGGGAAGTCAAGACCTCGAGTGAGATGGCAAGATGGTTGTGTCTAGGCTACGTGCCCAAGACGATCCCGGTAAAATTCGAAAACCCTGAACGACCGGTAAGGAGGGGAGAGGCGACTGTGGTTGGCTAGAATCTACCTGGGGCCAAGGGACCTAGTCGGCAATAATTGGCGACGAAAATGGCCTCCAATATAGGCGCGGTATGGACTCTGTCCTGTCGGAAGGGCAGACAAGAATGGAGTGGCTAGTACGGATAGTAAGGCGTTGATATGCCGTGGTTCCACTCACTTGGGTCGGACAAGGGGCAAAGATCGAGAGACAGGGTCGACAGCGAGGGAGTTGTGCTAGATGGGCAAGGACAGATCCGAAGATTCAGCGCCGCTGAGTTCCAAACGTGAGACGGAAGAGCCTTGGAATGTGGGTAACTCGGCCGTGTTCTGGCAAGGCACAGCGTGGAATGTGTAATACGGGGGCGAGAAATATCCTGAGTGGCGGTGGACGGATGAGTGAAGCCAGTTTTGGTGGAGTGGTTGTCAAGTTTTGTCTGAAAGCTTTGGACTACCAGGGATGTGATATGTCGGCGGAAAATTAGCAGTCCCCTGAACAGAGACCAGAAAAACAATCCGGGACGGAGAACTGTTATATTGGAACAATAAATTAAAAAAAAGGTGACGGGGGGTGAAGGGGTTTTGGCGCAATCACCCTTGCTAGAAAATGGTCCTGGTGGTTCCTTAGCCTCGGGAGAAGCGGTTTGAAAAGATGACACCAGGTTGATTAAGGTTCCGGGATGGCGCGTGAGGACTGGGGCGGCTGAGGCGTGGCAGGCACTGGGGAGAGGCCGATCCAAGGCGTTGTTGATATGGATAGACTCACTCTTACTGAGTGAGGGACGTGGCAACGGGTGGCTGCCAAGGCTTGAACGGCTTGGGGTTCTCGGCCTGTGTTTGGTCTAGTACAGTAGCCTGGCCAAATGCTTAGCATTCGAAGAGAGATATGGGTCGTTTCAGCTTGTCGTCGAGATGGTGATAATGGACGCTTCCGACTCACCGCAAGGTCGAAATCATAGGATTCCCGTCTAGAGGAGCGTGTGTGTGACTTTGGGGCAGAACTAGACGTCAAATTCTGGAAGAAGAGGCACAGATAAGCCCTGGCAATTAATGAGACAAGGGTCTTCCACCCAAGGTGATGTAACGAGCCAAAGCCAGCGGAGTGGGGTGGAAGCTGAACTGGGTTTGCTGGGGTTGGGGTTGGCAAAATAGGATACTCAAAATCGAGGCCCTTGTAAGCACCTGCTGCTGGCAGTTTGATCAACACCGAGCTAGCTCAAAATGATGTGGAGGTTCCTGTTGTTGATCTGATGTCTTGTGCTTGATCTTGGACTGCGCGAGTGAAGAGAAGTGACAGCTGGACACAGTCGCCTGGCATAAGGGAATGGACGGCTGGGTGGATTGAGGCGTCTTTACGGACAACTTAGTTCAACCTAACCCACACATGCATGACCACCAAGCCCTGTTGTTTGAAACCCGCGTTCCCAAGCCTGTCCGCACAAATCTACACATGCGTCGGATGGCATCAGAAGTCCTTGGGTAATAAGAGTCCGTAGACGCGTTTTCCCATGCGATTTTAGCGCGTACTCGCCCACGTCCGGGCGTCCAGTCACAACTCATTGGGCCTATAAGCTCGGCTTAAAAGGCCACTATTAAACAATGTGGGACTGGTCCTGTCTAAGACGACGGAGATTGATGAAGGAAAGCGCCCGTGGATCTGTCGACCGCCATCCGCACCGTATGGAGGGATCGGATTTGACCCAGAAGGACAGAGAGAAGAGAGCTGCGAACAAGGCGCCCTCAGGTGCTCTCCCATTTACGGTGCAGCGGTTGTGCAGAGGGGAGTACCCATATTTGGAGCGGGGAGAACGGCTCGAAGTAAGTAGGGGGATTGGGGGACTAGAAACCAGGCACTCACTCGCAGAGGCTTTCCGTGTACCCAGGCTGTCGGGGCATGGAGCCACCGACATGGAGGAGGAAGAGGAGGCCAACACCCCTCATCTACCCACACCTTAGGGGTACCCTCGTCGGCACACACACCCAGGCCTTGGAACCTGGTCTAGCACAGCTGGGCCGGCGCTGGGGGGCGTGAAGCAGGTGTGGGTGGAACGGGAGCACAGACAGACATAGTCGGGAGGCGTGGTCCGATGGAGCAGAGAGGGGGAGAGTAGCAGAGCAACAGCATAATCTAGCTTTCTTGGCCTTAGGAACCTGATGCCGCTAGCGCGCATGCTTAAAGGCGGCGGTCCTTGGGATGGGACGAGAAATGAGGTGAAGTTGCCATCGTCATCGCCAGAATTTGGTGACATGTCGCGCGTGGGTGGAGAAGCTGGAACGGAAGTCGGGATGTCGAGGTTTGACAGCAGACGGGGACGGTGCGATGCGATGCGGTAATGTAGGTACGGTGCTATAGCACGTCGCCGGGTAGGCAGTCAGGTACATTGAATGTTAAACAAATGGCATGGCGCCTCAATATCGAGCTAAGGTCTAACACCTTGCCGCGCCGCGGAGGTATGGCAAGGACAGGTAGTGTAAGTTTCTCCGCCATGTTGGTTCTTGGTGCCTGGGTCTGTCTACCCCCGCCCGCACTGCCTCGAACATGCCAGCAGTACTCTGTAGTAGCTACCCTTCTTCTTCTCTGGCTTCCCTGTCAGGGCAGAGAAAGGTTTGTTGGTGGTTGGCAACAATTAAGACAGCAGCAGCAGGGAAGGGTGACGACCGGTTCTGCATGTCAGCGAGACCGGACCAGAGCCTGCAGAACAAAGGCAGGATGGGGATGGAGGGGCCAAGAAAATGCGTACATAGGAGTTGACGATCCAGCATGACATTCGTCCCAGGGCAGTTGAGGGACCGGGGGGACCTTGCGAGCGGTTCGGACCAATTGATGTCTCCATGGCGGCCTTGGGCTAGACACCGATCAACAATTACCAATATCCAAGTACTACGTACAGGAACATCGTCCCATGGATCCGGTCCAGCGTGTAGTTTCTGTAGTGTAGCATCCATATCAGTGCACATGGAGTGGCCCGCCCCGAGTAATCTGGTGTATGCATGCCTGGTGTTGTGCACATATCGACGATCGAGGATAACAAATCCGAGGCTTGCCATCGTTCAATCCCTCTCTGTCTGGCTCTATTGTGTGTGTCTGCGAGTGTATGTGGGTGTATCCATAGGTACATGTTCTGCATAGGAGTCTGGATTCGCCTGTCGGCTTTCCAAGCCAGGATCAGCAAAGTGCGTTGGCCACTCTTTGATGGCGTTTGCACAGGGACAACAGGTGCCAGGGCCTACCAGGGCTCAAGGGTGCGTTCCGAATTGGAAATCGAGCCTGCATTGGGAGGAAGGGCCTGCAGCCAATACCGCGGTGCACAGCGGAAAGCAGAGAGAACGAGCGAGCGAGATAGTGTACAACAATGAGATGAAAAATGGATAAGCGCAATTACGTAGTGTATTTTGCGGTTCGCCGTCATTGGGGCGAGGGGAGAAGGGTGCATATGTTGCCGGGAGGCGTTGAACAGTACCGATTTGACTGAGTGAGAAGCATGGCAGCAATTGCCGGATGCCGCGTGTCCCCATATAGTCTCCAGATGGAAAACTTGAAATAGTGTACTCGAGAGGAAGAAGCAGCCAAAAGACCGGCGACCGTCGGTTTCCAGCGCTGATCAGCCACGATGCCTACGGTATTGCAAAGCATGGAAATCACGTGGAACTGTGTTCACCATGATTGGGACCCAGTTCCTCTGCTTCTGCACAGTATTGATTCGCTCAGAAAGGTGATGTGCTACTTACCACAGCACTTCAGAACGGAACCACTGGGGCAGACTAAAGACTAGTGGGCCTGTGAGAAGTTGAGAAGGCGTATTATGTAATTCCCTAATGGCGGCAGGTCCTTACTACTAGTATGTACTGCTATGTTGATCGAGTCTCGAAACAGCAGGAGTCAACGGACGGGCCGGATCCACCTTTCATTGACCAAGTCTCCACATATGACATGGGGCCGTCGGTCTGGGAGCCTATTGTGCTGCAGTAGGCAGCGGCACCTTCCTTCCCTCTAATGATAATTTGGGAAGGCGGCTACCAAAACCTCACCCCATTACAAGGTGTCTTTTCCAGGATCCCTCGTAGGCCAAGTACTTTACTCCAGGCAAGAGGATGTTTTGTATCTGCATACATAGTACTTCGTAGGGTGAAG